TCTGAAAAGCATTATAATTTCTTGAAAATGTTGGAGACAGTTATTAACCATTAAGTCCTCTCAAACTTCAATGACAGATTTCCTACTAACCATTTCTGAGAAAAAAATTATTTTAAAAAGAAACAGTCATTTAAATCCACATAACTTAATTTTTAAAATACATCTAAAACTGTTTTTTTCTGGCTTTCAGATATTTGACTAAATGTGCGGTTGTGTATGTTTCCCTTGCTGGGGGTGCATTTCAAGTGCCTCCTGAAATAGTGCATTAATATCTTTCACCATTTGGCGGAAATTATTAGCTATTATCTCATCAAATATTACTTCTTCCCTATTCTCTTTGTACTTTCCATATGGTTTTCATGCTCTTTTCGATCCTTTTGTCCTTCTCTGCTGCAGTCTGAATATTCTTTTTTCTGATGTCTTCTTCTTTCTCATAAAACTCTGAATCATTATTTATGAATTAAAAATGTTCCCCATCCTAAGAAAATTGCTAAATAACGAAAGAACCAAAACCTATGATCCCTCTGAAAAGCATTATAATTTCTTGAAAATGTTGGAGACAGTTATTAACCATTAAGTCCTCTCAAACTTCAATGACAGATTTCCTACTAACCATTTCTGAGAAAAAAATTATTTTAAAAAGAAACAGTCATTTAAATCCACATAACTTTGATTTTTAAAATACATCTAAAACTGTTTTTTTCTGGCTTTCAGATATTTGACTAAATGTGCGGTTGTGTATGTTTCCCTTGCTGGGGGTGCATTTCAAGTGCCTCCTGAAATAGTGCATTAATATCTTTCACCATTTGGCGGAAATTATTAGCTATTATCTCATCAAATATTACTTCTTCCCTATTCTCTTTGTACTTTCCATATGGTTTTCATGCTCTTTTCGATCCTTTTGTCCTTCTCTGCTGCAGTCTGAATATTCTTTTTTCTGATGTCTTCCAGCTCGTTAATTTTGTCTTCAGTTGTGCTTAATCTGATGCTAAACCCATCTACTGAATTCTTACTTTCAGCTATTATATTTTTCAGTCCTAAATGTCCATTGGATGCCAAAAGTTGCCATCTTATCTTTTAATCTCTTGACCCCTTTTATGACGGTTATTTCAAAGCCAATGTCTAATAACTCTACTTTTTGGATCTCCTGGGGGTCTCCTTCTGCTGTCTACCTTTTTTTTTTTTTTGGTTTTCAGTTGAATCTTGCCCCTGCCTTCCCCTTTTGGATTGTTTTGGGGAGGGGGCCTGGTTGCTTTTGATCGAATAGGAAACACTGTTAATGAAAATGGTAGAGACAACTTGAGGTTCCGGACGCAGTTATCTTCCTCAAAAAGTGCTGTGCTGTGGACGATGGGCACGGCACCCACAGGCCACCTCGCTCTGGTCAGCGGCCGAGAGAATTGGCACGAGTCCCTCTGGTTCCCCTCACTCCTGGGGGAGGCCGTTGGGATTCCATCCAAAATACTTACCGGGTCCACTCGTCTCTGGCAGCTCTGGAGTTTGAACTTTATTCCCCACACCCGTGAGTCTGTCACAGGCTCTACTCGGCAGGCCTCCCGGTCAGCTGTGGGCGCCGCCGGCCGGCTGCCGTGTGGGGAAGGGCGGCCGAGGCCGTCCTAGGCTCCTGGCTCCACTGCAGTCTCCAGTCTCCAAAGCCCCGTCTCAGAATCCGTCCACCTTCAAACGGATGCTGTTTTCAAAAATTCTGTATCCAACTCTTCTCGTCGTTCTCCCCAGAAGGACTGGCTGAACCAACAAGGTTGCAAACAGAATATTCAATTTTCTCTTTGAAGAAATAAAACATTTTAAATTTCACTGATTTCCTCTCACACACATACAGAGAAGTAGAGGAAGGTGGTTCTAAGGAAATGAAACTAAGAAGATACGGTATTGACTGCAAATCCTTCTCTCTGTACCTATATAACTTAAAATATGATTTCTGTACAAGTAACAGCGATAGGATTCTTACATGCCAAGTATTTATACATGCATTTTTGTCTTATCAGCGGAAATCAAAACACTCGACAGGCCCACACGTGCCAGTGATTCCAGCAATGGAGGATGACTCTGTTTTGAGTCCGGATCCATCTGAGCCCAGTTTCCTCGATGCACAGGAAGAGTCGTGATCAATGCCGCTGTCCGTCTTCCTCCAGGCCTCGTCTGACACCTCAGCTGGCGATCAAAGACACTCCGCTGCTCCTTGTAACACATTGTACCCTTTTCCATATCCTGAACAGAGTGCAATGCTTCAATAAAAAGTTTATATCACTAATATTATCTCCAGTGGAATGTCTTTTTCCATCATGATCAGCATTTTAAAGAGGGATCAGGCAAAGGAGCGAAGTGATGAGGAAATAGGGTGTTCAGCCGTTTGTTTCTGGGCAGTCCTATTCCTAAGAACCTGGGGCTCTACACGAGGGAGAACAGGGTCGGGTGGGTTTGCGGGGGTGACCTGCAATCTCTGCTGAGCTTGGGGACGAAGTGGATGACAGAAGGATCCTGTCTCCAGCCTGCATCCAAGGCCTTGGAGAGACTACTTAGGATGTTTCTAATGAGGAGAGAGGGTGTTCTGACCCTACTAACTAGGACAGAAATACACGAAGCCGTGGGGAAATATGCTTAAAATTTTCTTTTGCCTTATTTTGGAGGCAAAGTGACAAGTGCCTCCCTGACCTGTCTATGGAGATGTACAAAGCAAACAGAGTGAGATTTTACAGACGTTACTCCTTCCGTCTCTACAAATGCTTCAGGAAACCTCAAATACTCTGAGCTGGTCCGGTGACAGTTCTCCCACGGCAAGTGCCATCTCAGGCTGGCAGCAGGGGTGGAACACGGGCACGGGGCAGCGTTCACGGGCACTGTGTGACACACAGCCATCTTCTTCCTCAGGATGGTGACACTTTCCAAAGCCTGTCCCTTAGCGGACTGCTCAAACTATTTCTGAACCCAGAAGGTACCCCCAGCCCAGGCCATCTTGCCTTTAAGTAAATTCACTTCTTTAAAGGAAATCATTAGTAAGAATTCCAATGCCGAATTCAGGAAAATCCAAACTCTTCTCTAACCTCTTCCACGTCTGCAGTTGCTCCAGGTAGCGCCCTCCAACCTTAGGGAACGCTGATCATTGGTTTAAAATGAGAAGATTGCTTTTAACATTCGGTAACGTTAATTCAGTAATGTCCCCCTAGTAAAAGAACTCCCCTCACTGTTCCTACTTGCCTCGCCTTTTATTAAGATACTTTTCTCAAAATCTGAAAAAAGGGAACCAGTGACCAGGGATTAAGTGAACATAATATCTACTTTTATTACGAAACATTAAATTTTTGACACATTGCTTCATTTGCTTTCTTAAAAATCTATTATCTGACTTAAACCTATTCAGCAAAATGCCAATAAATTATATAAATCATAGTTTGGGTGTTTAAAAACTAGGAACATAATATGTTTTATGATAATCGACAATACTACATCTGAGTTGCATAAGCTGTTAACTTATAATCTGTTTTAGATGTTTAGCTCAAAGTAAAAAGAAAACCAACCCTGTCAGCACGCTGCTGAAAAGCTTCTAGAGCCGCCCTCCCCGGCGCCGCGCTGTGTGCCAGCACCTCGGCTTCTCAACGGAGGCGGGACGTCGCCACGCAGGTGTCAAGGCACTCATCCCTCACTGTCCCCTCGCGCACCCTCGGAGTCACACTGGATGGAGGGCTGACGATAGGCATCAACCCTCAGCCCAGGCTACCTTGCTTTTGCTTTTAGGTAAACTCATTTCTTTAACAGAAAATCATCAGCTAAGAGCTCGAATGTGGACTTAGGAGCGATGACTCCAATTCAATACACATTCAATCAAATGTGTCAGTACTTAAAGTCACAAAATTCTGAGATGTAAATAATCAATGAACTAAGGTAAACAGCACGGCCACCACGTGCCTTAAAATGGCATGTTTTTTGATGTCTGAAGCTCTTTGCAAATTACATTTTGGGACAGTTTAGATGAATTTGAATAAAACATATGTTGTCTGCATATAGTTCCGCAAGGGTTTTCAGCGTGGGTGGCAACATTTAAAAAATACAGTACAGGCATGTGCCACCAAGCCCGGCTAATTTTTTTTGTGTATATATATATATATATATATGTTAATTGGCCATTTAATTTCTTTCTATTTATAGTAGAGACGGGGTCTCGCTCTTGCTCAGGCTGGTTTCGAACCCCTGACCTCGAGCAATCCGCCCGACTAGGCCTCCCAGAGTGCTAGGATTACAGGTGTGAGCCACCGTGCCCGGCCCCTAACCTTTTCAATATGAATGAGATGTACCAGTTAACTTTGCTGATGAAATGGCTATACCTCTCGACACATACGTCTGAACCAAATATGGTAAAAAATAATGGCATACTTGGGTGATGACAGTCTTGCTATTAAAAGAGCAATCGAATCAACTCACTCTATAGGTCAAGATCCAACAGATGACAGTCTACAAGTGCTGGAAACTGAACTTCATCTGTGTCTTAAGTCAATTCACTCTACACAGTGAAAGCAATGCAGATGATACCATATGCATGAACCCACATGTCTATGCCTATAATATAGGTACAACTTTTCTGGTCTAAATTAAAAGTTCTAAAGATTCTAAAGAAAATACAAGTCATATTTGGAAACATTTTAATCTTACTGGATAACCAAGATCCTTGAGTTTTCTCTTCAATGAAAATATTTTCTGATCTTGTTCAGCCAAAAGCACTAAGAGATCATCTTGTTCTTTTTTGGAATCCGTAATTTCCAACTCTAGCTTGTCCTTCTCATTTTGTAAAATGGCAACGGTACTGTTACATGAATCCAGCTGTTCTTTAATGGCAGTTCTTTCCTCAGACAGAGCTTTAATTTCATTCTAGGAAAAGAAAAGCAAAAGTTAATAATCTAAAATTAATACTCACTTTCCTGGAGTTTTTAACAAGTAGTTTGTTTCTATGATAGATCACTATACTTGTTCAATCTACAGAGTTTGGGGGTGACGGTTGAGGGTATACCCAGTAACATCAGGATGTGTCAGACTAGTCATCCAAGATGGTTATTGTGAAAACTAGAGTTTAACATACAAAATATAGTTTTTAGTTAGCTGTTCCTCAAAACAATCCTTAAGAGATTAAAAAAAGCAATAGTATTTCATATAATAAAATGAGTAAATGGAAGGCCGGGCGGGCAGCTCACGCATGTAATCCTAGCACTCTGGAAGACCGAGGCGGGCAGGGGTCAGGAGACCGAGGCGGGCGCTCAAGTTCAGGAGTTTGAAACCAGCCTGAGCAAGAGTGAGACCTCATCTCTAATAAAAATAGAAAGAAATTAGCTGTACAACTAAAAGTATATGGGAAAAATTAGCCGGGGATGGTGGCGCATGCCTGTAGTCCCAGCTACTGGGGAGGCTGAGGCAGGAGGATCGCTTGAGGTCGGGAGTATGAGGTTGCTGTGAGCTAGGCTGATGCCATGGCACTCTGCCCGGGAAACAAAGGGAGACTCTGTCTCAAACAAAACAAAACAAAACAAAAACAAAAACAAAAAAAAAGAGTAAACAGAGACACAAAACATTTTACAGCAGAAGCCTGGTTAGCATGAGAATTAGAAGTCAAAGTTAAAAAAAAAGTTTATCAGCTGAGTGCAGTGGTTCATGCCTATAATCCTAGCACTTTCAGAGGCTGAGGCAGGAGGATCACATGAAGCCAGGAGTTTGAAACTAGCCTGAGCAAGAGTGAGACCCCATCTCTACAAACATAGAAAGAAATTAGCCGGACAACTAAAAATATATAGAAAAAATTAGCCGGGCATGGTGGCGCATGCCCGTAGTCTCAGCTACTCGGGAGGCTGAGGCAGGAGGATCGCTTGAGCCCAGGACTTGGAGGATGCTGTGAGCTGGGCTGATGCCAAGGCACTCTAGCCCGGGCAACACGGTGAGACTCTGTCTCAATAAATAAATAAGTAAATAAATAAATAAAAATAAAAAAATTGGGGCACAGGCCGGGCGCGGTGGCTCACGCCTGTAATCCTAGCTCTCTGGGAGGCCGAGGCGGGCGGATTGCTCGAGGTCAGGAGTTCGAAACCAGCCTGAGCAAGAGCGAGACCCCGTCTCTACTATAAATAGAAAGAAACTAATTGGCCAGCTAATATATATAGAAAAAATTAGCTGGGCATGGTGGCACATGCCTGTAGTCCCAGCTACTTGGGAGGCTGAGACAGAAGGATCGCTTGAGCCTAGGAGTTTGAGGTTGCTGTGAGCTAGGCTGACGCCACGGCACTCACTCTAGCCTGGGCAACAAAGTGAGACTCTGTCTCAAAAAAAAAAAAAAAAAAAAATTGGGGCACAATCCAAAAAGCACAATTATGTATTCCCTTCATTTTTCCAATTTTTTCTTCATGCCCTCTACTTTTTATTAATGTTAAGTTACCTCATCCCTGTCTCATGTTATTTATTCTGATGGCTGGCAGGAATTAATGTGTCTGTGTTTCTCAGCCTTATGGAAAGCCTACAAGTAGCTCGGTATTAGCCAAATTTGTAATACTTGTTTCGTTATTATGATTAGATACTGACGCTGGTAAGAAAACTCAAGATATTTTCAATGAATTTTACTCTCATACTACATGCATATACATTCTTATTTTACATGCTAATATCATTATTTGAAATGGCATTAAAGAAACTTCACTTGTACTATCTTTAATCATCAAAATAGAGGCCAGGTGCAGTGGTTCACACCTGTAATCCTAACACTCTGGGAGACTGAGGTGGGAGGACCACTTGAGGCCAGGAGTTCAAGACCAGCCTGAGCAAGAACGAGACTCCATCTCTACTAAAAATAGAAAAAATTAGCTGGGCATGGTGGTACGTGCCGGCAGTCCCAGCTACTCAGGAGGCTGAGGCAGGAGGATCACTTGAGCCCAGGAGTTGGAGGTTGCTGTGAGCAAGGCTGATGGCACTACAATCTAGCTGAGGCAACTGAGTGAGACTCTGTCTCGAAAGAAAGAAAGAAAAGAAAAGAAAAGAAAAGAAAAGAAAAGAAAAGAAAAGAAAAGAAAAGAAAAGAAAAAAAGAAAAGAAAAGAAAAGAAAAGAAAAGAAAAGAAAGACAAGAAAGGAAGAAGAAAGAAAAGAGCAAGCAAGCATCAGAATAGAAATGGAAATGTGAGATAAAATTACATCCCATTATCTTTCTTCATAAATCTAAGAATTTGAGAGATTAAATTAAATGTAATAAAATTTCATGGAGTTCATTTCATATTATCTGTAATAAATAAAATTTTACCAAAAACTAACCTTTAATTCTTTAGTCTCTTGTAATAATGCTGATAGTCGTCCTTCTACATCAGTAGTTTCAGCAGCTATCACAGTCTCGCTGGCTCCTTGTAGGGGGACTGATTCTGCCTAGAAGTAGAAAGTGGGGGAAAATGTTTCTTTAAGTCACAAATAATCAATCTCAACTCCCAAAGTGGTGAGTTAATTTTCTTGCTATTTTGAAATTTTGCTTTCAATAACAGAAAATATAATTATTTACGTAATTTATGTGTGTAAAACAACGTAATCTCCATTGCCAGACGCACTGTCATCAGAGCGTGAGGAAGGCTGGGCTAAGCTGCTCAAGATCAGCTCAGAAAACTAGTCCGTGAGGGAGCGCTGACGTAGCTATACCGCGGCATGTGATAAGCAGAGACTATTTTTCAAAGCCATTCTCTCATAAGCTTCTTTTAAGTCCATACTGTCATCTCAGAAAGACAGGCAGATAAACTGAGCCAAATGCCGTTAATCAGTGAAATGCAAATGGGAGGTACTCTTTGGACAGGGTCTCACTCTGTTGCCCAGGCTAGAGTGAGTGCCGTAGCGTCAGCCCAGCTCACAGCAACCTCAGACTCCTGGGCTCAAGCGATCCTCCTGCCTCAGCCTCCCGAGTAGCTGGGACTACAGGCACGCGCCACCATGCCCGGCTAATTTCTTTCCATATATTTTTAGTTCTTTGGATAATTTTCTTTCTATTTTTAGTAGAGACGGGGTCTCGCTCTTGGTCAGCCTGGTCTCGAAGTCCTGACCTTGAGCGATCCTCCTGCACCGGCCTCCCAGAGTGCTGGGATTACAGGCGTGAGCCACCGCGCCTGGCCGGGAGGTACTCTTAAATCAGTTTTTCAGTGTTTCTCTGTCTTTTTTCTAAGATACCTGGAAATGGGATGACGGTACGACAAATACCTAACAACGTGGAAGTGGATTTGGAACTGGATAATGATAGAGGCTGGAAGAGTTCAGAGCGGCATGTTATTTAGAGAAAGCCCACATTACCTTGAAGAGGCTGTTGGTAGAAATATGGACATTAAAAGTGATGCTGGTGAGGGCTCAGAAAGAGAAGAAGAAAGTCGCAGAGAAAGCTTGTACGGCGGTGGAGATGCACATGTATCATCATGAACTAAGCGTAGAAATGTAAGCGTCAAAGGTACTTTTGGTGAGGTCTCAGATGGAAATGAGGAACATGCTATTGGAAACTGGAGGAAAGGCTGCTTGTTACAAAGTAGCAAAGAACTTGGCCAAATCGTGTTCAGTGCTTTGTGGAAAGTAGAACTTTCCCAATGAGCTTGGGTATTTTGCTGAGGAGATGTCTAAGCAAACTGTTGGCGTGTGGCCTGGTTTCTCCTTGCTGCTTAGAGTAAAGTGTGAGAGGGGTAGAGATAAACTGAAGAGTCAGAACTTCCAGATTTGGAAAATGCTCAGCCTATCTACACTGCAAAAAATGGGAAAGTGTGTTCTGGAGAAAACACTGACGGTTTTTTGATAACTTTATACGCAGCATAACAGAAAGGCTGCCAGCTGGGACTGAAGGATACAACAGAGCAAAGTGAAGCAACCTAATAAACCAACCTGGTGAGTCTGACTATAAAATGGCTGCTACCAAGAACAAGAAACCTGTTACTAGAACACCCCTGGTGAGTAATCTAAAGAGAAAGTGCTATTTGATGAATTTGCTTCTTTTTCACTGTGGCTGAGAAACATTGATCACACAGCAAGCTTGGGGTCCTACCTTTCAGAAGGAAATAAAAGAAGTAACTTACAAATGCTTCTGTTTTCTGTAACAGCTCCTGCTTTTCTGTCTGTAGTTTGGTGATCTCTACAGATTGTGAGTTTAACTGAGACTTTAATGTCGCCAGTTCCTAAGAGACAAAAATAGTTGAGCTGTAATATTAAATAGTATTAATTTCATCAAGGAAATGTCTATTTGCAGGAAGAAATTTTAAAAATTTCCTTTCTTGACCCTGCCCTCTAAAATCATAGCTTCCAAGGGTTAAAATCTAACTCCAAAGAACTATTCTTGAACTTTGGGTTCAAGATAAAAAAAAAATAAACACATTAATTTACTTCTGCTCCCTCCTCAGATTTCATCCAATGGTAAACAAAGGGAGGGAGGGAGGGGAAAAGGAAAGAAGGAAGGAAAGAAGGAAGGAGGGAAGGAAGGAAGGGAGGGAGAGAGGGAGGGAGGGAGCAAGGGATCTACAAAGACAAAGAGATTAAGAGAAAAGAAAACTAAAACTGGGGAAATTTCCGAGAGCAAATAACAGCGGTAAGTAATTCAACACTAAAAAACCTGAAAATTGAGGTTGACTATTGAGAAAGTCTAGCTGGTGTTACAATGAATGCATTAACTACCAAATGCTTCAGGAAATGGTACCATTAGATATGTCTAGAAGTATAGGTAAAAATGGGGTTCAAAACTGCAGGGCTGGTTAGAAGACTATTTAAGAAACAGACCATCAGATCTCTGTCCCAAGCTTATGCACTGGGCAAGTGTTCCTCCTCACCTGGCTGAAAGAGAGGCTTATTATTTAGAAGGGCAAAACAGGACATCTTTAGACTAGGAGCCACCAAACATTGATGAAAAGTAGTGCTATAGTGAAAACTGGGGAATTAATCGAAAATTCATATTAATGTTGGAATTTTCAAACTTCTCCCCCTCAGAACAGACCAGAATAAAGAAAAGCAGGCCGGGCGCGGTGGCTCACGCCTGTAATCCTAGCTCTTGGGAGGCCGAGGCGGGCGGATTGCTCAAGGTCAGGAGTTCAAAACCAGCCTGAGCAAGAGCGAGACCCCGTCTCTACTATAAATAGAAAGAAATTAATTGGCCAACTGATATATATATATAAAAAATTAGCCGGGCATGGTGGCGCATGCCTGTAGTCCCAGCTACTCGGGAGGCTGAGGCAGAAGGATCGCTCGAGCCCAGGAGTTTGAGGTTGCTGTGAGCTAGGCTTACACCACAGCACTCACTCTAGCCTGGACAACAAAGCAAGACTCTGTCTCAAAAAAAAAAAAAAAAAAAAAAAAAGCAATGGTCAAGGTGGCTCTCAACCAGGTCTGCTTACTCCTAATCCCCCCGCCCCCACACTTGGTAATGTCTGGAGACGCTGAGTAAGTGGTGAGATGCTGGCATATAAGAAGCCCTTTTTCCTTTTGTTCTTTTTAAAATTCCTGTCATGTATGTCTGTGGCTTTTAATCTTTTTTGGTTATAAAAATGAGTTACATTTATTTTTCATTATACGGTATTTTATCATATATTATAAAATAACAAAACTGACATTTAAAATATGTATTTTTTTAACAATCTAAGATTTATAGCAGAAAATAACTTGGAAAAAGTAAACAAGTTAAAGTTTCACTGGGAAACATAATTAAATAGGAAAAATTTTTACTTGAAAGTTATAGACTAAGGCTATACATTAATAACTTAATTCCTTTCATATAGTTTTAGTGTAGGCAGACTTAATAAAACCAAAACAGCATATTAATCTTTCCCACACAAACAAAATGTTGTGAACACATAAAGGAAACCTAGAAAGCCTCAATGATAGGTGATTTTTTAAAAAAGGCTGGATTTTAGAATCTACTCTAAGGTGCATGGACATTACCAAAATAAGACAGTTTCTTTGCATATAGTCATTGCTGGCCAGGGCCAACTGACCAGAGAAGGAAGTCAGTCCTAGGTTGATAAGGATGGTCACGTCTTTCTTTAGTATTGCTTGGATTTTTTTTAAAAGAAGAATGCAATTCTTTTATAATAAGAAAGGAAGAAGGGAAGGAAGAAAAGACAAGGAAAGGAAGGAAGAAAAAAAAGGGGGCAACCCCCCCCAAACCAGAACCTCTTTAGGGATAATATATACTAATAAGCAATCTGATACTTTTTTAGATTTTCCTAATTAGTCTATTATTTAATTCTCCACGTCAACAGTTCCATTCCCTCTTTTCTGGCTCTTTTCTTGAACAAATTACATTTATTCTCTCATTAGACAAAGATAAATGATCAAATGATCTAGTTTAATAGGAATTTATAAATACCACAAATTAACCAAGTAGAAAAGGTTTAATTTGCTATTCTAGATTTTTTAAGTTACTAGAGCAGAAAAAGTTTATTTTGCTTTTCAGCTGAAAGCATGTAATTGAGATATATATATAAGTTTACCTCCTGTTATTCCCTTTTCCATTTCTTTATTTTTTTTTGAGAAAGAGTATCACTCTGTTGCCCCAGGCTAGAGTGCCATGGCATCAGCCTAGCTCATAGCAACCTCAAACTCCTGGGGTCAAGGGATCCTCCTGCCTCAGCCTCCTGAGTAGCTGGGACTATAGGCATGCGCCACCATGCCCGGCTAATTTTTTCTATATATATTTTAGTTGGCCAATTAATTTCTATTTCTTTTTGGTAGAGATGGGGTCTCGCTCTTGCTCAGGCTGATTTCGAACTCCAGACCTTGAGCAATTCTCCCGCCTCTGCCTCCCAGAGTGATTACAGGCGTGAGGCACCGTGCGTGGACTCCCTTTTCCAATTCTAAAATTCAATGTTTTCCAGATAGAATGGTTTAAACACCCAGCACATTTAGTTGAGCAATTATCAAAGTCGATACTTATAAGAAAATTAGGCGTAAGATTTTCTACCTTCATATTTGCAGCTTATCAATGTATTGAAATTTTTCTTTCTTAGTTCACTGATAATCTACAAATAATCTGGGTGAGATGCTGAGATTCTGTTAAAAAGAATACCACTGAAAAATGAAAACAATAAAGAGTAAAATACTACTGTTTCCCCCAAAATAAGACAGGGTCTTATATTTATTGTTCTCAAGAAGACGCTCTAGGGCTTATATTCAGGGGATGTGTTATTCTTTTTAACTACGTACAACAATCTACATTTATTCAAATATAGTGAAGTCGTCTTCTTCTGGAACATCATCATCACTCTCCAAACCCCGAATCCCATCCCGAATGTCTTGCGAGTCTGTTTCCTGTAGAGCCACCGGCCCGGTGTCTCCTGTGGAGCACTAGAGCTGTCACGGGCGGGTGAGCAGGGCTGCTCGGCTTCTTTCCCGTTCTTCTGCGACACGCACGGGTTATGCAGACGTGCTGCGGAGCCACGCCCGGCACTAGGGCTTAGGCTTGTGTAGCACAAATGCGTAGAAATCCTGCTAGGGCTTATTTCATGGGTAGGTCTTATTTTGGGGGAAACACGGTAGTTCTAGGTTAAGGAAACTACGGGCCTGTAACTCTACCAGAATGAAAAGAAAATTGGCCAGGCGTGGTGGCTCATACCTGTAATCCTAACAGTCTGGGAGGCTGAGGTGGGAGGACTGCTTTAGGTCAGAAGTTCCAGACCAGCCTGAGCAAGACTGAAACCTGGTCTCTACCAACAATAGAAAACATTAGCCGGGCATGGTGGCTTATGACCGTATTCCCAGCAACTCAGGACAAGGGAATCACTTGAGCCCAGGAGTTTGAGGTTGCAGTGAGCTATGATGCCATTGCACTCTATCCAAGGCAACAGAGTCAGACTCTGTCAAAAAGAAAAAGAAAAAACAACAAAAACAAAACAGAACTTGGATCAAGCTAGAAAATTACCTGTTTTAACTCTGCAACTTGTTCAGAATCCCTAGCTGAAGCTGTTGCTAAAGACTGTTCATTCATGCCAGATGTTTGGGAAGATTTCTATAAATAGCAAAGAAATAAACTATAAAATAAATTCAGTCCAAAGAGATAGGCAAAAACAAACAGCACCGTACACATTATAAACTTTATCTTATATATGCTTACCAAAAAAATTCACATCATTTTAATTTTTATGCCCAAGATAAAATTTCAACACAGTATAAATATAATTTACAACTTTTCCATAGGTAAAAAATTTATATTTATACAAAGTAATTTATTAAATCTAAGCATCTACCTTAGGTCATACGGAGAAAGCATAAAAGCAGATATTTATTGAATGATTTCCATGTATTAAGAGTACGTCATTTAAGTATCATAACAATGAAACAGATATTACCACCACCAATTTACAGATTAGGAAACAAGTTTAAAGAAGTTAACTAAGTTGCTTAAATTCAATTAGCTGGGAAGCATGGAAGCTTAGAGAGTGTAACTCTAAACTCATACTCTAAAAAAATCTTAATATATGATACTCTGGCTTAAGGGATCCAGCAAAATAAATAAATAAATAAAAACTTTTAAAAAGAAAGAAAAAGGCAGAGTGAGAATTGCTCTTGACCTCTTATTTTGAATTTTTAAACATTTACTTACCAAAGTTTTAATGAAAGAGTCCTTTTCACTCAGCTGACTCTGTAAAAGTTCCTGATTACTTTTTAATTCTTCTATTTCTTCTCGCAACCTGCCAATTTCTTCCAGCTGAATGCCATTCATCTGAGCCCCATCGCTATAAGAACCTTGATGCTGATTGTCTTTTCCTATGAGCCAAGCAAACATTTTTAAAAGCCAGCATGAAACCTGTTTTTCATTTTTTTTTTTCTTTTGAGACAGAGTCTTGCTTTGTTGCCCAGGCTAGAGTGAGTGCTGTGGCGTCAGCCTCGCTCACAGCAACCTCACACTCCTGTCCTCAAGCCATCCTTCTGCCTCAGCCTCCCGAGTAGCTGGGACTACAGGCATGCGCCACCATGCCCGGCTAATTTTTTCTATATGTATTAGTTGGCCAAGTAATTTCTTTCTAGTTATAGTAGAGACGGGGTCTCGCTCTTGCTCAGACTGGTTTCGAACTCCTGACCTCGAGCAATCCGCCCGCCTCGGCCTCCCAGAGTGCTAGGATTACAGGCGTGAGCCACCGCGCCAGGCCCTAAGTCTTTCATTATATGAACTAGAAGATTCAAATATATAACTTTCTTAATTCAATTACTTCGGTAGCACTTTTGCAATCACATTTCATCTGTGCAGAATAGTGTCTTGATAAAAATAATGAACTGATGATATTTTCAGATTTCTGGGAGGAAAACAGCATAGTCAAACAGCTGACTAAACTGCATGGTCTGGTGGTGTATGATTTAAGAATTACAGTTCTTTCAATTCCCATTTTGTCAATGAAGACAAAATAAAATCCCTTTTAAAAAATCTTCACAAGCACTATAAGATGACACTATTTACAAGCAGCTGAGCTCCTACCGTATGCCAGGCACCACCAGAATTTTACATATATTATTTCATTTAATGCTCAGATGTTATTATTATCTTCATTTTGCAGAAGAGAAAACTGAAAGATGAGATCAATCTTTTTCAACCAAGTGTACATTCGAATCACCTGGGCAGTCTGCAATAATTCCTGATGCCTGGACCCAAGCCCAGACTGATTAAATCAGAAACACTATTAGAGTTTTTCTCTCTTTTTTTAACCAATAAAAAGCATCTCAGAAAAAAAAAAAAAAAAAAAAAAAGCATCTCAGGAGGCCCTAATGAGCAGCCAGGGTTCAGAGTCTATGGGTCAGATAACCAGGTAGCAAGAAACTTGGATTTCAATCTCAACTACTCTTAACTCCCATGCTACTTTGTTTTAAACTCCGATTTACATGTTCATCACTGTGACTAAGGTTACAGAAAGATTAGCCCATAAAAAGAATCTGTTTTACTTTGTCTGGCTCCCAAGAATAGAATGACCCGGACCTTACAATAGTGATGGCCAGCTACACTCACCTAGCTGTACTTTAAGAAGATTATACTGATCCTTGTGCTGCTGAATCTGAGATACTTGCTGTGTGACTGCTGTCTGGAGCTGTTCATTTTGACATTTTAATGTAGAAACCTGCTGCCTTAATTCTTCAAGTTGCAGATCCTGTGAAACAAAATGTAATTCAAGTGTTTTGCATTCACACTAATTACCACTAAGAAGAAAAATAAATTTTAAAAATAAGAGGTAATTTTGGGTTAGTATACTAAAGAACTCAACACTTATAAAATCATTCATTAATTAAACAATAATACATTACTATATGCACCAGGGCAAATTTACATGCAGAACTATAAGCTTCCAAGTAAGGCCCAATTAATAAATACTATGGCATTATTTGCAATCTCACTGCAATTATGGGAGATACCAAATGAAAAAACTCTATTTGATGGCCCATCAAACCATTAAAGAAATTTACACCACCAACGATTTAAGAAGCTTAGTAAATGTACATATACATATGCGTGTTACTTTTTACATTAAAAGACACTCATAACAGAACATTTAGAAGACTGAAAAGAGAAAAAAGAGCTTCCGACTCTCACCACCCTAATAAGTACAGCTGGAATTTCATGTACTTCTTTACTTTCTTCTAGTTTCTTCCAATCCATGTTTTTATAAACTTCTCATAATCAGTCCACATATAATTTTGTAATCTTTAATTTACTTACTATTCTAATTTTCCCGTATTGCTAGTTTTCACCATCACAATTTTTTTTTTGTTTAGTTTTGGATTTTTTTGAGACAGAGTCTCACTCTGTTGCCCTGGCTAGAGTGCCATGGTGCCACCCTAGCTCACAGCAACCTCAAACTCCTGGGCTCAAGCGATCCTCCTGCCTCAGCCTCCCGAGTAGCTGGGACTACAGGTATGTGCCACCATGTCCGGCTAATATTTCTCTATATAGACTCTGAACCCTGGCTGCTCATTAGGGCCTCCTGAGATGCTTTTTTTTTTTTTTTTTTTTTTTCTGAGATGCTTTTTATTGGTTAAAAAAAGAGAGAAAAACTCTAATAGTGTTTCTGATTTAATCAGTCTGGGCTTGGGTCCAGGCATCAGGAATTATTGCAGACTGCCCAGGTGATTCGAATGTACACTTGGTTGAAAAAGATTGATCTCATCTTTCAGTTTTCTCTTCTGCAAAATGAAGATAATAATATTTAGTTGGCCAATTAATTTCTTTCTATTTATGGTAGAGATGGGATCTCGATCTTGCTCAGGCTGGTTTCTAACTCCTGACCTTGAACGATCCTCCCGCCTCAGCCTCCCAGAGTGTGAGGATGACAGGCTTGAGCCATCGGGACCAGCCACCATCACAATTTTTAATGCTCACTAATATCTGATCAAGTAGATGCAATATAAATTATATTCAATGTTTTTGACACTGAGGTTACTTTCCATTTTTCAAAACGAGCAATATTATTACAATACATATTTTACTCTATATAATTGTTTTCCTGAATTCTGGAAAATTTCCTTAGGATAAATTCTCAAATGTCATTTCAAAGGATATAATAAACATTTGATAGCTAGATGCTTGTTACCTAATACCAAACAACATTTTAAGTGGTGACAGAATGTTTAAAATGAAGATTTCTGAAAAAGAGTCATTATAGTAATTGTGTCAAATCACTCTTTTCTTCTTCCAAATCAACTATATTTATTAGCCCCAAATGCTTATTTTGGGACATCACATTCCAAGTGCTTACTTCTCTGTTGTTGCAAAGACATGACATCTTTCCGACTGGAAATGACTCCATGTTTGTACCAACCTATAAGTGAAAAATCCTAATAATCACGGGTAGTTCGATGATTCAAATTTTGACCAAAAACCACTCTAATTTCTTGTTTGCTCATAAACTGAAAATCTGAACCTGAATGCTAAATATGTCATAATATTTTTATTCTTTCTCAAAATTATAATCTCAGTAATACAGATTGTGGGGCAGGAAATAACCTACAGGCAGCTCTCAGAGGGTTCTCCTCATGCTCTTCCTTGCCACACCCAGCCCATCTGTACACAGCAGGGAGGGGTGGGCCTGCTCTATGTGACCTGCTACCGCCTGTCTTCCATGACGTCGGGATTTTGACAACATCAATTACAGCAATCTCTCGAATTCCAATCAAGGTATACACCAGAAGAAATTAAATGAGAGTAAAAACCAAGAACATATTTTGAAGGAATGTAACAGAAGGTTTAAGTGGCTCAACACAATGCAAGTAATAGAAGTTCACTGGTATCCTGGAAAGGCTATGTCAACTGGCGATTCTGGAAAAGTGGTTTCAAATTAACTCATCATTATCTACCCTAATAAATCAGCTCCTTCTCCTGTGCTATCTAACTCAATAGTATCGATTCAGTTGTCCAGGCAGACATGTAGCGATCATATTTGACGCTTTCTGCACCCTCAAACCTGCATCTAAACATTACTAAGTCCTTCTAGTTTTCTTTATTTTTCACATTTCTCAAATCTATCTCCTTTGAACCACATGGTAAGAGCTTTAGAATCCCACTAACACACATGGATTTGAATTTTGTTCTACCAATTGCTGAGTGACCCTGGGTGAGTTTAAATTCTCTAAGTCTCAGATTCCTCGTTTATTCTAAACTGAAGATAACAGCTACTTTGTAGGGGTATTGTGAAAATTAAATGAGAGTTCAAAATGCTTAGTGAGCATGTAAAACATAGTAAACAAAAAAGGGCAGCCACTACCATCATCACTGCTACCATCAGGGCCCTAGTTTCCTCCTGCAGCTCACCGACCACGACAGCCTCCCTTCCTTGGGCGCCCCCTCCCTCTAGCTTTTCACCTCAAGTTTCTCCTTCACGCATCTACCAGAGTGTACAAGCCAGCAACATCAGACTCAAACTTATCATGCTGTTTGTCACTTCCTGCCTCTATTCCCTCTCTCCCCCTTCGCCTGGACTCAGCATCTTGGTGTTTTGCAAGCCCCTGCTCCTAGGTAGCTAAATTAGGTGCTTCCCAGTGCTGCCAAATGCCTCTGATGGCCTCTATCACTAGACTTAGTGTGTGATAATATGCGTGCTACAGTAATCGATTTATGGGTCCGTCTCCCAGTGGACCTGATATGGAAACCTGACTGATTCATGCTTTTATCTGAAACATCCTACACAGTGCTCAGCACATATTAAGCACTCAGTTTGTTGAACACCTAGATGCTTTGAAAAATAATGAGTTTACTTTCTGCATCTTATTTCATTTGAAATGTGAGGAAAATTTCTTCCTTAATGTAGAAAATGTCAATCGGTCGTAATCAGAGTGTATACAGTTCATTAGTTACTCACTTGCTCTCGAATCATATTTTTGTAGTGAGACACAATATTGTCATGCTGTTCTAGTGTTTTCTTCACCTCTTCTTCTTTTTTATCTTCTTCACTGGACTTATAAATAGCCTTAGTTATAACACCTGGAAAAGAAGGTATTTGTTTTAAACATTTAAAATACTACTTTATTATTAAGATGTAGTCAAACCATTAACCTAACTCCATGACAGATAAGAAATAATCTTTCCAATCTTATTGAAAGCCAACTGTCCTTCAATGGGCTACAGATCAAGAGCTAGGAAAAAAGATCTACTTGCAGGCTTATCGTATAATCTGCATGTATCCAGGACATATATACGTAATATAATCACATTTACTTTCTAATGAATATCAATATAAACCTTCTTGTCTTACCTTCAAGTTCTTTTACCAGCTTTGTAAACTCATGATCAAATATCATACATTCTGGACTGGGAAAGTTTGGCTGAGGTTTCTGAGATGCTCTGGAATATAACTCATGTTTGCTAATAAATCCTAGTTTCTCTATGAAATTCTCTTTGCCAATCCTCTTCTCTATTAGTTGTTTCAGTTTCTCTCTATAGAGATAAGCATATTGAAATGCTTTAAGAAACCACAAAATCATAACAAGCCATAAACACTTGGTCTACATTATACTTTGGCAAAAAAAATGTGCCATTATCTCTTGATGCCATTAGAGAGTCCTCTTCCCTTTACTTACTTCGTGCAGCTCTCAAGTGAGTTATCATTGAAGTAAATCGAAATGCCCAACAAAAGGGCACATAAGCCTTGGACCAACTGCTCTTCTTCTCCGAGATTTTCTGCAATTTGTCCTGTAAGCTGATATCTTGGTTAGGGAGGCTAATGATTCATAATACCTAGAATACTTTGTTTTGCAATTTGAATTTGATATGTATTTCATGTAAGAGTTCCTATAAGAAATATCACATATGCTCTAAGCCAGAATAAAACAATGATACACATACAAACACACACACACACACACACACACACACACACACACCTTAAGCAAACATCATTACAACCGTAACAGGTTAAAAAGTTGCATCACAGATAAGATGGTGGAGAATTCAAACATTTTGGGTATAGAGCTATTTCCAATTGAGAAGAAAAAAATAAAAAAGATATGAATACTTACATATATGTTACTAAAATATAAAGGATACAAATGGAACATTGGCTGAATTGTGAAGAAAATGCGTCACTGCAATGGGACAGTTGCTTAGCCAGGTACAGAGCAACATTAACAATCCAACTCTTGTTTGTATTTTGCTTCCCTGTAATAGATAAGTTGGCAGAAATCTCTCTCCATTCATTTTATTTTTTTCACACTTAAAGTTGCCCTGAGATCCCTTCCCATTTGCATAAAAAGAATTTTAACATCTTATAAAAGATGTGCCAGAAATCTAGATTAAAAAAATAATGAAGGAGAGAACATATTCTTGTGTGCACCACAGGCTGCCGTGTCTCAAAATGATCACAGTGCGGATTGATTCATTTTCATAAGCATATATTGGGTTATTTGAAATTCTATCAGTAGAAGACCCTGGTCTGCTAAGGAAAAAATTTATGATGTAGAGGTTATTAAAAAAAGAAAAATTCCATCAACCTCAAGACACTTTATAACACATTTGCCAGGCAAATTTATGATATTTCAATCAGTATTTTAAAAACAAGTTCCTGATAAGAGAACAAATCCTCCCTCCTTCAAAAACATCAAGAAAAATACAAAGAAATAATCTCCTCAATCATTTAGTCAAATTCTATGAGAGAATATATTTTTTAACAAGAAGATAAACCATGCTATAAACTCAGTGACAATATATGTCATATGAGAAAATCACCAACATGGTCAAGAGTAAAAAGATTTAAAGTAGCAAAGTGCCCCAAGCCACAAACTATATTGCTACCTAGTTAAATAGGAAAATTAGCATGTCCAGCAAAATTAGTTTTCTAAATTTTAAATGTGTAGATAATCTCTAAGTTCAGAATATTGACACTGCCCATCTTCTATTACTATAACCTGTATTTCTTTTTTAAAGAAAAACAAAACTTGTTTGAAATAAAATAATGAAGATCACAGTAATGCATCACTTTGGGGCAGTTTTTAGAAAATATCCAAAATATATTTATTCAAAGATCTAGACAAGGAATGGATTTAAAATAATCATTGCTGTTTTTGAAAAATTTTTACCACCTAGACTATTCCATTTTGCAAACCTTGCTGTCAGTATCTTGGCCTTTTTCTAATCTATTTTCAGGTATATTTAATATCGAATTAAATAAATTCAAACTGGACTTCTTCAAATGATCTACCAAGTAAGCATTAATATGAATTTAGTTTTTACATGATATATTATTTTTACTTTTCCTTGCTTCTATGTCATTATTGTGCCCACAGTATACCTTTATGTTACCTATATAAATTAAAAAGTTAAAAAATACAGTTAGTCTCCCTTGACTATGTGCCACAGAAATCTTACAACTACTCAAATTATAAATGCTATATGGAGAAATTCACCATTACCCGGACTAACCATTTGCAGGTACCAAATAAGCCCACATATCTATAAGAGCATCCTATCAAATCACTGGCTAATGTTTGAATAAACACCAACAGAATTAGATTTAAATCTGAGTCTTCTAGAAATATGTTCTCTGGGGTCTAATTGAAGGATAAGAAGAGCAAAGTTAAACATAACCAGAGAGAAAATAGAACGGAATAATTCATTTATTATAGCAACAAAAAAACCGCTTCTCAGCCTTTTGGCTAAGATTCAGTGTATTATAGCAACAAAAAAAGATTAAGTACTCCGGAATGAACCTTATCAAAATGGTTGAAACCAAAACAAAGAGAACTTTTAAAACACTCCTAAAGTTCTGATGCTGAATGAACTGTGAAAAAAAAAAAAAAAACAACAAAAAAAAACACTCCTAAAGAGCACAAAAATAGACACAAAACCAACACAAAGACACCATGTTCTTTGACAGAATTAACACCTTCATGATGTCAGGTCTCCTAAGTTAATTTGTAACATAAATGTGATCAAAACAAAAATACTAAACGGTTTCTTTTCTTCTGGAACTTAACAAACCGATTGTGAAGATCATATTTAAAAAGTGAGATGGCCACGTCTGGTGGCTCACGCCTGTAATCCTGGCATTCTGGGAAGCCGAGGTGGGCTGACTCCACTTGGTCGGGAGTTCGAAAGCAGCCTGAGCAAGAGCGAGACCCCGTCTCTACTACAAACAGAAAGAAATTAACTGGCCAACTAATATATATAGAAAAAATTAGCCAGGCATGGTGGCGCATGCCTGTAGTCCCAGCTACTCGGGAGGCTGAGGCAGGAGGATGGCTTGAGCCCAGTAGTTTGAGATTGCTGTGAGCGAGGCTGACGCCACGGCACTCACTCTAGTCCGGCAACACAGTGAGACTGTGTCTCAAAAAAAAAAAAAAATAGTGAGAATAAGTAGGAATACTGTGATAAAAAAGAAAACCAGTAATGAGGGGATATTAAATCATGAACAGGCGGAATTAAGGGATAGGACAAAAAGTCCAGAAATGGACCCATATACAAATATGTACAACTTAGTATATGAATAATGTAGCACATAACCATCAGCGGGTAATAGATCCACACCTTATACAGTTCATTCAGGAAAGTGGAGCAAAGAATTAAATGTAAAAAAAGAAACCAGAAAGTATGAGATGAAAATATCAGTAAATTCCTTAAGGTCTTTGAATGGGTAGGCTATTCTCAGCATGACTTAAAATGCAGAAGCCAGAAAAGAAAAGTCTGAGAAAAGAAAAAAAAAAAAAAATCCAGGTTGGGACCAGTGGGTCATGCCTATAATCAGGAGTTTGAGACCAGCCTGAGTAAGAGACCCCCATCTCTACTAAATATAGAGAAAAAAAAAAAATTGCTGGGTGTGGTGGCGCACCTGTATTCCCAGCTACTTGAGAGGCTGAGGCAGAAGGATCGCCTGAGCCCAAGAGTTTGAAGTTGCTGTGAGTTGGGCTGATGCCATGGCACTCTAGCCCGGGGAATAGAGCCAGACCATCTCAAAAAAAAAAAAAAAAAAAAAGCTAACACTTTAAATTCATAGTGTTCAAGCATTAAAATGAGGCTCTAGCATATTATAATCAAATTCACTTTCTAGTGGTGTCCTCTGGGGACAGAGAAATAATAAGAAAGGGGGCATATTGGAACTTTCTGGAGTTATGAAAATATTCTACGTCTTATTTTGGGTGGTGGCTATAGAGGTACACTCAACCATCAGAAATCATCAGACTGAACACACAAGGTCTGTGCATTTTACTGTGTATAAATATCTTGAAAAATTGCCTTTTAAATTAACATTTATATTTACAAAATACTTTCCTAAATATGAAAAATTCTGCAGGCTAAAGCTGTGAAATATATATGTGTATGAGTTGTTAACGGATGTTAAATCATGCTCATACACAAAGATATAATTCCTAACAGGACCTCAGTTATTACTACTCACACTGTTCAACTGAAAAGCATGCTCAAACACAAATATCACAGTACACTCGCTTTTTTTTTGTTTGTTTTACAAAACACACAAACAAAAACAAAACCAAACACAACACTCTTCCCCCCACATCAAAAGTTAATCCTCATATAGGACTGTAGTCATATGGGTCCAGATATGTAGTTGTAGCATATGGATTATATCCAGAATAATCCATAATATTTAATTTTAAATCTTACAAATTACAAAATTATACTTGCCATTGTACATTTTAAATAAATAAAAGTCATCACATTCTTTCATATACTGATTAACTAAAGACAAAATTCTTAAACCTAAATTTTACTTCCTGTGAAATGTTTTAAGGAGAAATAAAGAAGCAAGGTTGGGAGAAAAAAACACAAAAAAACCAAAACCAAGGAATTCCAGAAAGTGCAAGCATCCCTGAAGGAAGCACAAAGTACAGAGGCTCAGATTCACACTCCCATAGTTCCTAGTAACGTCACTACAATATCCCATGGAGAAAAACTGGAGAGCCAGTTACAATAGAGATAAATTTATTGACACATAAGTGTGAGTAGAATGTAACTTCAAACAAGCAGTTAAAAACACCCAATCAGCAAAACCCAAGACAGAGAAAAACACTTGCTGAGAGAGGAAAATGCCTAAGCTAAACAAGTGATACATACCCGTCTGTCGATCTTATCACCCTGCAAATTATACATTAAAAATTATTCATAAATATTACTACTTCAGAAAAATCTAAATCCAAAAAAATCCCTCAAATACTTTTTCACAGTCCCTCTACAAACCCAAGCCAATAATGGATAGGATAGTTCTAATCTTTTACTATATAAAAATGGTAAGACATTTTAGAGGATAAGGATTTTATAGTTCTATAATTAATTACTTAAAAGTAAGGAAGATGTCACCACTTTTAGTATTTCTTATCATGCATTCATTGTAATCACAATGTTACAGCGAAGTTGTGGTGATGGTAGTCAAACTGTTAATTACTGTTTGGCTTTTTAAAAAACTGTTTTCAACAGACAGCAACATGATAATGCCAGGTATTAAATAAGACATGAAAATTTTAGGGTAGGTTTTTGTAACCACTAAGAGACAGTGATAGAGATAAAATAAGTTTTCAACTAGAGTAAACCAATTTTAAACTACTCTCAACTCCCCTTTCACTATAGTTAATTTTTAAGCTTTCACTTACAACTTCTACCAATGGCACTAATGTTTTCTTAAAAGCTCCAAATAAGGAAAAATTCAATGAGTGTGGCAAAATTAAAAACTAAAGAAGGACACAGCACATTATTATGGAGAGTGGGTTGGATGATTCCACTGCTAGAGCAGTGGGCAGAATAATATTAAACTTATCAACATTTTTACTCTCCCTGATTCTGAATGTTGATGACATTTATTATGGCTTTGCTAGTGTGAACTTGAATTATTCAACAGCATGGTTGGTATACCTGGGCAAATCATGTAATAGTAATTACTAAGTGCCTAGCATCTACATTTCAATAAAGCTTTGCTGTTTTCATTAAGAGTCTAAAAAAATGCAAGCATTTTTAGTTATGTTTTTCTACGTCTTGTTAGATAAATTATATACATTGGGGACTTGAGGATTTGAGAATTCACAAACATCAAGGGTGTATACTCTGTAACTGTATAGATAATGGACTACTATTCTATTTTTGTTTTTGGATGATCAATTACTCTGAGAAGAGAAAGAGGGAGGTACACAGCTATGAACTACGTTATTCCCCCTCATAAACTAACCTCAATTCAATTACTGAGAAGAAAGAGAAAATGACATGCAAGAACACTATGGATGATTTAAAAAGAAAACAAAACCCTCAAAATACCTTTCTACCCAGGACATGTGTTTCCATCATGATGCAGATCTTATAACTATTTGGCAAAACCATTCCTATAGGAATATTTATTGCTTTCTTTCTACTAAACTCTTCCGGGTTACAATGAACTAATAAGCAGGTAAGTCCTATCTTTCCTTTTTCATGTGCATCTTCTAGACATCCTTGCATCCTTGTATCACCGATATCAAAACTTATAGCCAGAACTTTTTTACCCCTTAGAGAAGTTTCATGCAATACTTTACCTGGGAAAGGATGTTGGTGCACTGCTGTAGTAAAGAAACCGGCGGGTTGCCGATACTTGTAGCAAGTTGAACCCTGAGCAACTGTTCCTTCTGGATAGCGTTTTCTTGCAAAGCATGAGCAAGGGCCACCGCAGCACACCAGTTTGAAAGTGAATCAGTAGAAAACAAACCTCCACACAGCAACTGACCAGCTGAGACCGAATTACCTGTTGCTACAAAGACGGAAAGCAGATGATAAAAAAATATATTAGATTTTCACTGTATGGAAGTAAACAAAAGGTATCTTGGAAGAAAAGTAGCACAATAAAGAAACAGAGGTTGAATATCCCTTATCTGAAATGCTTGGGATCAAAAGTGTTTCAGATTTTGGATTTTACATTTGAAATGCTCAACCTGTATAGAACACTTCAGGCATCAAGTTGATGATGATAATATCCCCCAAAATTATTACCTTAATTAAAAACATTTCTAAAACAAATCAAGGGAACTGCCACATTTTAATTATTCTACTATATACAGGGTCTTATTTTCATTTATGGTAAATAATTTCTTACAGTAATACATTTTTTACCAAAAAATTTTTGATAATAGACTTAAATTTTGACAAAAACCACAAGGTATGTAATTAAAATGAGCTTTACTGAGGTTTTCAACTTGTTTTATTTTTTTTTGAGACAGAGTCTCTCTTTGTTGCCCAGGCTAGAGTGAGTGCCGTGGAGTCAGCCTAGCTCACAGCAACCTTGAACTCCTGGGCTCAAACGCATCCTCCTGCCCAGGGCCTCCCAAGTAGCTGGGACTACAGGCATGCACCACCATGCCCGGCTAATTTTTTCTATATATATTAGTTGACCAATTAATTTCTTTCTATTTATAGTAGAGACGGTGTCTCCTTGCTCAGGCTGGTTTCGAACTCCTGACTTTGAGCAATCCTCCGGCCTCGGCCTTCGAGAGTGCTAGGATTACAGGCGTGAGCCATGTGCCCGGCCTCAACTGTTCAAGAGATACAAACGGTAAGTATATTAAGAATTATCTTTGGTAAAAGAAATAATTTAAAGAATCCACAGAAAGGGTAATGACTCTACCGGGTACTACCGTGTTTCCTGAAAATAAGACAGGGTCTTATATTTATTTTCCTCAAGAAGACCCTAGGGTATTTTCAGGGATGTGTTATTTTTTTAAAGTATGGTACAACAATCTACATTTAACTGTATTTTTTTTTTTGAGACAGAGTCTCACTCTGTTGCCTGAGCTAGAGTGCCGTGGCATCAGCCTAGCTCACAACAACTCAACTCCTGGGCTCAAGCAATCCTCCTGCCTCAGCTCCCAAGTAGCTGGGACTACAGGCATGTGCCACCATGCCAGCTAATTTTTTCTCTTATTATTTTTAGTTGGCCAATTAATTTCTTTCTATTTCTAGTAGAGATTGGGGTCTGGCTCTTGCTCAGGCTGGTCTCGAACTCCTCAGCGCAAATGATCTACCCGCCTTGGCCTTCCAGAGCGCTAGGAATTACAGGCGTGAGCCACTCTCACCCGGCCAACAATCGTACATTTATTTAAATATAGTTAAGTCATCTTCTTCTGGAACATCATCATAACTCTCCAAACCTGAATTCCATCCTGAATTTCTTGAGACTTCTATTTCCTTTAAAACCATCCCAATTCTCATGTCGAGCAATAGAGCTCTCATGGGGCAGATGAGAAGGGCTGCTCATCTTCTTTACCACTCCATGACAAAATGCATGGGTTGTGCAGAAACACTGCATAGCCAGGCCATCACTAGGCTTATTTCAGGGTAGGACTTATATTGCGCAAATGCTTAGAAATCTCTGCTCGGGCTTATTTATGGGTAGGTCTTATTTTTAGGGAATACGGTAGAACAACAGACCAAAATGTTAAGTGTGATTTATGGTGAAATTTATCTTTAGAGTGATAATTACATTAACAGTAGCTTCTGTTTATTGGCATCTATTATATGCAGGTGCTAAAGTATGAGCTGTAACGATACTTCAATTTATTGCATTAATTCTCGCAATATTCCCATGAGGTGTATCCCATTTTATAGATGAGTATTATTATACCCCATAACTTGAGAAGGCTCAAGTTAAAATAATTTTGCCAAAGTTTACACAGCAAGAATAGTGGAAATTCTACAATGCAAACTCTGGTCCAACTCCAAAGCATGTTCTTTAAACTTATTGCAGGCCTTGGAACTCAAGTTTGGTTTGTTTTTCCCCTAAGCATACAAAATTAGGCTGAAGCATACAGAGAAAAGATTCAATTAAAAGCTTGAAAGACATTTACTTTTTAAAATAGAAATAGGAACTATATTATTTACCATCAATGGTGGAAGGTAGAAGTGTTGACACAATTTCTCCTTGTCCTTTTTGTTTGTTATTATAAGAAACACTGGAAACAATAGAGAACAGCACAGCGCAATACAATGGCTGCCTTTCAATTAACCATGGACATGAGAAGTCCACAATTGCGGTCTGTCACATTATAAAAAAAAGAACAAAACAAAACATTGCAACCCAAGTAAAAACGTAAACAGTGAGTCATTTTTGTTGGCTGAGGAAGCTAACACTGAACACCAGCAAGTTAAGTATTTCTATTTCCATTTCACAGAAGAAAACTAGCTGAGTGAAGTGAAGTAAACTTGTTTGCCATGTTAGGATGTGGAAGAGGTGATATCTGAACCTAAATATTTAAGTTCCAAAGACTACACACTCTTCTAAAATACCCATTATTTGGCCAGGCGCAGTGACTCATGCCTATAATCCTAGCACTTTGGAGGCAGAGGTGGGAGGACTGCTTGAGGCCAGGAGTTCAAGACCAGTCTGAGCATTATAGCAAGCCCAGCCTCTATTAAAAATTAGCCAGTGTGGTGGTCACGCCCACAGTCCTGGCTACTTGGGAGGCCAACGCAGGAGGACTGCTTGAGCTCAGGAGTTGAGATTGCTGTGAGCTATGCCACTGCACTCTAGCCTGGCACAGAGCAAGACCCTGCCTCAAAAATAAAACCACACAAAAACCCCCAATATTTATCTTTTTTTTTTTGAGACAGAGTCTCACTCTGTTGCCTGGGGTAGAGTGCCGTGGCGTCAGCCTAGCTCAGCCAACCTCAAACTCCTGGGCTCAAGCAATCCTACTGCCTCAGCCTCCTGAGTACCTGGGACTACAGGCATGCGCCACCATGCCTGGCTAATTTTTTCTATATATATATTAGATGGGCAATTAATTTCTTTCTATTTATAGTAGAGACGGCGGTCTCGTTGCTGTTGGTGTGGTTGAACTCCTGACCTTGAGCAATCCGCCTGCCTGCGCCTCCCAGTGTACTAGGATTACAGGCGTGAGTCACTGTGCCTGGCCCCCAATATTTATCTTGTCAGATAATTTCTATGTTTCAAAACATACAGATGAACTTATTTAAGAGTAAGATAGTATATGTGATGATTACATTAAATAATTATATATTTAAGTCCTCGGAAATAGTTCTTTCACTTGTGTGGGTTTGAAGGTGCATTTACAGATGCAAAGTAGTCTTTTTACTTGGCAGCCTCGAATAACTTCTACTGTACAGTATTTATGGTCTGTTAAGAAGAGAAAAACATTAGAGAAATAGTAATGTTAGAAAATTTGTTTTCAAAGAAGAAATTGTTATATGCTGCTTTTTAGTGCCAAGATTCAGGCACGAAAAAAAATCAATGATGGCATTGTAATTTATAAGCACTTTCTCAACGTGAAATTTTAAAACATTAAGCAGGGGCCCTCAATTAAAATAACACTTGAAGGCCGGGCCCGGTGGCTCACGCCTGTCAATCCGAGCTGCTCCTGTTTGAGCCGATGGTGCGTATTGTGTGCTGCTTCAGGTTTTAGTGATCAAATTACGCTGTGCCTAAATGACGCGGATCCCCGTCCTACTATATAATAGAAAAGAAACTGTTGGTCTCAGCTGATTTTATCTGGATCCTGGCTACTATATTAATAAATAAATTTGCCGGGCGCTCCTTAGGTTTTGTTGTCGCATGCTGTAGTCTCCAGCTATAGGAGGGAGACATGAGGATTTATTGGATTTTCGTGCTGTCCAGAGCCCCCAGGAGTGGGTTTGATGTCTCGCTTGTGGCTTATAGGCTGGACGCCACCGGTCCACTTCATCACTAGCCTGGCAGCCATGCGAGACTCTTCTCAAAAAAAAAAAAAATTAAGACACGGACTCACATGACTTAAAATCTCAAGAAAGCAAAATGAATAATATCTTCTAAGAGAGAAGAGAATCTATTTCTACAAAACAAAGATGTTTTAAAATAAAATCAGAGAACTTAAAATGTAACAAATTAAAAATTCAATTTAAGAATGAAGTTGAAAAAACTTCCAAGAAAGTAGAAAAGACAAATTATATTTCAAAACATGTTGTACAAAATAATCATACACTATTTTTGTTTGTCAATTAAAAGTCACTTAAGTTTTTAAAAAGACAAACGAGGTCCAGAAAGTCTAACAATCTAATTAAAGAGTTGCAGAAAGAAAACATTAAAGAGAACAGGAAATTATCAAGGAATACCAAAAACATCCTCAGAACTGAAGGACATGTGTCTCTAGCTGAGTGCCCAGTGAGTGGCAAAAATAATTAGAATGGGGTAGGGAAGGTCCACAGGATAGCATATCATCAGTAAATTTCAGAAAATCATAAATAAGAAAAGATCTCAAAAGTTTCTACAGAGAAAAAGCAGGTTTCATTTAAAAAAGGATCAGGATGCAGAATGACTTCAGACTTCTTAATAGCAACACTGGATTGATGTTGTGAAAGTTAAGTATTGGTGTGTTAGTGATTTCCGGCCCTGAATTCCATATCCAGTCAAACAAATTAACTCTGACAGTGGAGGAATAACAGTTTTTTTTTTTGAGTCAAGAGTCTCACTCCGTTGTCCGGGCTAGAGTGCCGTGGCGTCAGCCTAGCTCACAGCAACCTCAAAACTCCTGGGCTCAAGTGATCCTCCTGCCTCAGCCTCCTGAGTAGCTGGGACTACAGGCATGCACCACCATGCCAGGCTAATTTTTTCTATATATTTTTAGTTGGCCAATTAATTTTTCTATTTTTAGTAGAGATGGGGTCTTGCTCTTGCTCAGGCTGGTCTCGAACTCCTGACATTGAGCGATCCTCCCACCTCAGCCTCTCAGAGTGTTTAGGATTACAGGTGTGAGCTACCACGCCTGGCCAGGAATGATGTTTTTAGACATGAAAGAGCTAAAAAAATTTCTCTTGTCATTTAGTCTGCTTTAGGAAATTAAGGAAAATCAGATAATGAACCAAGGGGTAGGGGAAAAAGATATGGGACCCAGATAACCAAGGTATCCAGGTCAAAAGGGAGGTAAAGGAAATCCTAGGAGGATGGCAAAAGAAAGTCCCAGGACCAGAGACTTGCCTCAGGAGAAGGATAGAAGGTTTCCAGTAGGCCCTAGGTAGACAATGACCTGTGAAGCATATGACAGTATTGATATGCATAGATATATAGGAAATCAGTAAACTGAAAAAATATAATTATAATTCACGAAAGAAAGATATAAAAAAAAGATATAGGGCTCTATTTGGCTTAGCAAGAATAGTACTAGTACAGGCCTAATAATATAAACCCCAAGTATTGATTTAAATATAAATGCCATAAAATAATTGTGGGGTGACATGAGGAAGTAATGTGGGAGTTTATATGGGTGGTGGGGGGAGTGAGACTTAGGTAAGGAGGAATGAGGTTGAAGGCAGCTGATTTTGTTATAAAACTTATTATTAGGGCCAGGCCAGTGGCTCACACCTGCAATCCTAGCACCCTGAGAGGCCGAGGTGGGCGGATTGCCAACCTAACGTCCTGGGCTCAACAAATCCTATGGCCTCAGCCTCCTGATTCCTGGGACTACAGGGCATGCGCCACCAATGCCTGGCTAATTTTTTCTTATATAGTATCATATTAGGATGGGCAATTAATTTCTGTTCTATTTGATAGTAGAGACGGCGTCTCTGTTGCTGTTAGGTGTGGGAACTTGACCTTGAGCAATCCGCCTGCCTGGCGCCTCCCCAGCTGTACTAGGATTTATTACGGCGTGAGTCACTGTAGCCTGGCCCCCAGGGATATGTCTTTGGTCAATAAATTGCTCTATTTTTCAAAGCATACAGGAGTGAACTTATAAGGTAGTAAGATATATATGTGATGATTACATTAAGATAATTATATATTTAATGTCTCGGAAATAGTTCTGTCACTTGTGTGGGTTTGAATGCTGCACTTTACATATTGCAACAGTAGAGTCTGTTTTTACTTGGCAGCCTCGAAGGTAACTTCTACTGTACAGTTTTATGGTACTGTTACAGTAAGAGCCATAAAATGCATTAGAGAAATAGTATTTTAAATGTTAGAAAATTTGTTTTCAAAAAGAAGATTGTTTATATTGCTGCTTTTTAGTGCCAAGATTCAGGCACGATAAAAAATCAAATGGATGGCATTGTAATGTTTAAAGGCACTTTCTCAACGTGAATATTTAAAACATTATAGTCGGTGGCTCCTATTAATATATTAACACTTGGAAGGCCGGGCTCCCTTTGGTGTGGCTCACGCCTGTCAATCCGAGCTGCTCCTGTTTGAGCCGATGGTGCGTATTGTGTGCTGCTTCAGGTTTTAGTGATCAAATTACGCTGTGCCTAAATGACGCGGATCCCCGTCCTACTATATAATAGAAAAGAAACTGTTGGTCTCAGCTGATTTTATCTGGATCCTGGCTACTATATTAATAAATAAATTTGCCGGGCGCTCCTTAGGTTTTGTTGTCGCATGCTGTAGTCTCCAGCTATAGGAGGGAGACATGAGGATTTATTGGATTTTCGTGCTGTCCAGAGCCCCCAGGAGTGGGTTTGATGTCTCGCTTGTGGCTTATAGGCTGGACGCCACCGGTCCACTTCATCACTAGCCTGGCAGCCATGCGAGACTCTTCTCAAAAAAAAAAAAAATTAAGACACGGACTCACATGTGGGCTCAAGCAATCCTCCTGCCTCAGCCTCCCAAGTAGCTGGGACTACAGGCATGCACCACCATGCCCGGCTAATTTTTTCTATATATATTAGTTGACCAATTAATTTCTTTCTATTTATAGTAGAGACGGTGTCTCCTTGCTCAGGCTGGTTTCGAACTCCTGACTTTGAGCAATCCTCCGGCCTCGGCCTTCGAGAGTGCTAGGATTACAGGCGTGAGCCACTGTGCCCGGCCTCAACTGTTCAAGATAACAAAGGTAAGTATATTAAGAATTTATCTTTGGTAAAATGAAATATTTAAAGAATCCACAGAAAGGGTAATGACTCTACCGGGTACTACCGTGTTTCCCTGAAAATAAGACAGGGTCTTATATTTATTTTTCCTCAAGAAGACACCCTAGGGCTTATTTTCAGGGGATGTGTTATTTTTTTAAAGTATGGTACAACAATCTACATTTAACTGTATTTTTTTTTTTTGAGACAGAGTCTCACTCTGTTGCCTGAGCTAGAGTGCCGTGGCATCAGCCTAGCTCACAACAAGCTCCAACTCCTGGGCTCAAGCAATCCTCCTGCCTCAGCCTCCCAAGTAGCTGGGACTACAGGCATGTGCCACCATGCCAGCTAATTTTTTCTCTATATATTTTTAGTTGGCCAATTAATTTCTTTCTATTTCTAGTAGAGATGGGGTCTGGCTCTTGCTCAGGCTGGTCTCGAACTCCTCAGCGCAAATGATCTACCCGCCTTGGCCTTCCAGAGTGCTAGGATTACAGGCGTGAGCCACTTCACCCGGCCAACAATCTACATTTATTTAAATATAGTTAAGTCATCTTCTTCTGGAACATCATCATAACTCTCCAAACCCTGAATTCCATCCTGAATTTCTTGAGACTCTATTTCCTTTAAAACCATTGGCCCCAATCTCTCATGTCGAGCAATAGAGCTCTCATGGGGCAGATGAGAAGGGCTGCTCATCTTCTTTACCACTCCATGACAAAATGCATGGGTTGTGCAGAAACACTGCATAGCCAGGCCCATCACTAGGGCTTATTTTCAGGGTAGGACTTATATTGCGCAAATGCTTAGAAATCCTGCTCGGGCTTATTTTATGGGTAGGTCTTATTTTTAGGGAAATACGGTAGAACAACAGACCAAAATGTTAAGTGTGATTTAATGGTGAAATTTATCTTTAGAGTGATAATTACAATTAACAGTAGCTTCTGTTTATTGGCATCTATTATATGCCAGGTGCTAAAGTATGAGCTTAACATACTCAATTTAATTGCATTAATCCTCGCAATATTCCCAATGAGGTGTTATCCCCATTTATAGATGAGTATTATTATACCCCCATAACTTGAGAAGGCTCAAGTTAAAAATAATTTGCCCAAAGTTACACAGCAAGAATAGTGGAAATTCTACAATGCAAACTCTGGTCCAACTCCAAAGCATGTTCTTTAAACTTACTTGCAGGCCTTGGAACTCAAGTTTGTTTGTTTTTTCCCCTAAGCATACAAAATTAGGCTGAAGCATACAGAGAAAAGATTCAATTAAAAGCTTGAAAGACATTTACTTTTTAAAATAGAAATAGGAACTATATTATTTACCATCAATGGTGGAAGGTAGAAGTGTTGACACAATTTCTCCTTGTCCTTTTTGGTTTTTATATAAGAAACACTGGAAACAATAGAGAACAGCACAGCGCAATACAAATGGCTGCCTTTCATTAACCATGGACATGAGAAGTACCACAATTGCCGGTCTGTCACATTTAAAAAGAAAAGAACAAAACAAAACATTGCAACCCAAGTAAACAAGTCAACAGTGAGTCATTTTTGTTGGCTGAGGAAGCATAACCTGAACACCAGCAAGTTAAGTATTTCTATTTCCATTTCACAGAAAAGAAAACTAGCTGAGTGAAGTGAAGTAACTTGTTTGCCATGTTAGGATGTGGAAGAGGTGATATCTGAACCTAAATATTTAAGTTCCAAAGACTACACACTCTTCTAAAATACCATTATTTGGCCAGGCGCAGTGACTCATGCCTACAATCCTAGCACTTTGGGAGGCAGAGGTGGGAGGACTGCTTGAGCCCAGGAGTTCAAGACCAGTCTGAGCATTATAGCAAGACCCAGTCTCTATTAAAAATTAGCCAGTGTGGTGGTACACGCCCACAGTCCTGGCTACTTGGGAGGCCAAGGCAGGAGGACTGCTTGAGCTCAGGAGTTTGAGATTGCTGTGAGCTATGCCACTGCACTCTAGCCTGGGCAACAGAGCAAGACCCTGCCTCAAAAATAAAACCCACAAAAAACCCCCAATATTTATCTTTTTTTTTTTGAGACAGAGTCTCACTCTGTTGCCTGGGGTAGAGTGCCGTGGCGTCAGCCTAGCTCACAGCAACCTCAAACTCCTGGGCTCAAGCAATCCTACTGCCTCAGCCTCCTGAGTACCTGGGACTACAGGCATGCGCCACCATGCCTGGCTAATTTTTTCTATATATATATTAGATGGGCAATTAATTTCTTTCTATTTATAGTAGAGACGGGGTCTCGCTCTTGCTCAGGCTGGTTTTGAACTCCTGACCTTGAGCAATCCGCCTGCCTTGGCCTCCCAGTGTACTAGGATTACAGGCGTGAGTCACTGTGCCTGGCCCCCAATATTTATCTTGTCAGATAATTTCTAGTTTCAAAACATACAGATGAACTTATTTAAAAAGAGTAAGATGTATATGTGAGATATATTAACAATCCAAAGTAAGTTTTTACTTCCTCAGAGGAATCTCAATTAGTTCCTTTTCCTACCTTGGTGGGTTTGAAGGTGCATTTACAGATGCAAAGTAGTCTTGGTTTACTTGGCAGCCTCGAATAACTTCTGATACAGTATTTATGGTCTGTTAAGAAGAGAAAAAAAAAAACATTTAGAGAAAGTAAGTAAAGTTAGAAAATTTGTTTTCAAAAGAAGAAATTGTTATATGCTGCTTTTTAAGTGCCAAGATTCAGGCACGAAAAAAAATCAATGATGGCATTGTAATTTTATAGCACTTTCTCAACGTGAAATTTTAAAACATTAAGCAGGGGCCTCCAATTAAAAATAACACTTGAAGGCCGGGCGCGGTGGCTCACGCCTGTAATCCTAGCTCTCTGGGAGGCCGAGGCGGGCGGATTGCTCAAGGTCAGGAATTCAAACCAGCCTGAGCAAGAGCGAGACCCGTCTCTACTATAAATAGAAAGAAACTAATTGGCCAACTGATATATATATAAAAAATTAGCCGGGCATGGTGGCGCATGCCTGTAGTCCCAGCTACTCAGGAGGCTGAGACAGAAGGATCGCTCGAGCCCAGGAGTTTGAGGTTGCTGTGAGCTAGGCTGACGCCACGGCACTCACACTAGCCTGGGCAACAAAGCGAGACTCTGTCTCAAAAAAAAAAAAATAACACTTGACCACATGCACTTAAAATCTCAAGAAAGCAAAATGAATAATATCTTCTAAGAGAGAAGGAGAATATTTTCTACAAACAAAGATGTTTTAAATAAAATCAGAGAACTTAAAATGTAACAAATTAAAATTCAATTTAAGAATGAAGTTGAAAAACTCCAAGAAAGTAGAAAAGACAAATTATATTTCAAAACATGTTGTACAAAATAACCATACACTATTTTGTTTGTCAATTAAAAGTCACTTAAGTTTTTAAAAAGACAAACGAGGTCCAGAAAGTCTAACAATCTAATTAAAGAGTTGCAGAAAGAAAACATTAAAGAGAACAGGAAATTATCAAGGAATACCAAAAACATCCTCAGAACTGAAGGACATGTGTCTCTAGCTGAGTGCCCAGTGAGTGGCAAAAATAATTAGAATGGGGTAGGGAAGGTCCACAGGATAGCATATCATCAGTAAATTTCAGAAAATCATAAATAAGAAGATCTCAAAAGTTTCTACAGAGAAAAGCAGGTTTCATTTAAAAAAGGATTAGGATGCAGAATGACTTCAGACTTCTTAATAGCAACACTGGATTGATGTTGTGAAAGTTAAGTATTGGTGTGTTAGTGATTTCCGGCCCTGAATTCCACATCCAGTCAAACAAATTAACTCTGACAGTGGAGGAATAAGAGTTATTTTTTGAGTCAAGAGTCTCACTCCGTTGTCCGGCTAGAGTGCCGTGGCGTCAGCCTAGCTCACAGCAACCTCAAAACTCCTGGGCTCAAGTGATCCTCCTGCCTCAGCCTCTGAGTAGCTGGGACTACAGGCATGCACCACCTGCCAGGCTAATTTTTCTATATATTTTTAGTTGCCAATTAATTTTTCTATTTTAGTAGAGATGGGGTCTTGCTCTTTGCTCAGGCTGGTCTCGAACTCCTGACATTGAGCGATCCTCCCACCTCAGCCTCTCAGAGTGTTTAGGATTACAGGTGTGAGCTACCACGCCTGGCCAGGAATGATTTTTAGACATGAAAGAGCTAAAAAATTTCTCTTGTCATTTAGTCTGCTTTAGGAAATTAAGGAAAATCAGATAATGAACCAAGGGGTAGGGGAAAAAGATATGGGACCCAGATAACCAAGGTATCCAGGTCAAAAGGGAGGTAAAGGAAATCCTAGGAGGATGGCAAAAGAAAGTCCCAGGACCAGAGACTTGCCTCAGGAGAAGGATAGAAGGTTTCCAGTAGGCCCTAGGTAGACAATGACCTGTGAAGCATATGACAGTATTGATATGCATAGATATATAGGAAATCAGTAAACTGAAAAATATAATTATATTCACGAAAGAAAGATATAAAAAAAAGATATAGGGCTCTATTTGGCTTAGCAAGAATAGTACTAGTACAGGCCTAATAATATAAACCCAAGTATTGATTTAAATATAAATGCCATAAATAATTGTGGGGTGACATGAGAAGTAATGTGGAGTTTATATGGGTGGTGGGGGAGTGAGACTTAGGTAAGGAGGAATGAGGTTGAAGGGCTGATTTTGTTATAAAACTTATTATTAGGGCCAGGCCAGTGGCTCACACCTGCAATCCTAGCACCCTGAGAGGCCGAGGTGGGCGGATTGCTCAAGGTCAGGAGTTTGAAACCAGCCTGAGCAAGAGTGAGACCCTGTCTCTACTAAAAATAGAAAGAAATTAATTGACCAACTAAAAATATATATACAAAAAAAAAAATTAACCGGGCGTGGTGGCATATGCCTGTAGTCCCAACTACTTGGGAGTCTGAGGCAGGAGGATGGCTTGAGCTCAAGAGTTTGAGGTTGCTGTGAGCTAGGTTGATGCCATGGCACTCTAGCCCGGGCAACAGAGTGAGACTTTTGTCTCAAAAAAAAAAAAAAAAAAATTGACAAATGAGCATATCTTTGGGAATCGATACCGTCCTCATTATGCTAATTACATTTTAATACGATCAGTAAAGAATTTGACATACAAAAATGGTTAACTATCACTGGTTTTCCTTCAGCCAATATCTAATTCTTCCTTGGATTCCTGATTTCAGCTTCCACAGGCAGCCTGACGTAACTGGGTTTACCTCCGTCAGGATGTCGGCAGGAACCCCGGTAGCCATCAGGATGGTACAGAGCTGCTGCAGTAACCCGCACTGGAACATGGCTTTCTGGCAGCTGCTGGTAGCACCAGGAGGGTTGGTGGGAGACACCAGTACACGAACAAGCTGTGAAGGAGAAAACAAAATTTGTCTTTTGAAGATTTGAAAAGGCTGTAGGCAAATCTGATCTGTAAGAACAAGAAAGTGTGTGAAGCAGCCCCTACTTGCCCAGCCAGATCTAGGTGTTTTGCCTTCCTGCTTACATGGCAGCAGTTCTGTTACAACACATACTACACATTATGCTATTTGCTTAGGGCTGTCTCCTTCTGGTAATTGGGAACTCATAGAGAGTGGAAACTAACTGCCTCGGTCAATTTTGTATCGCAATTATTTCTTACACATTCAATATATAAGTGAATGGGCGGCAGATTTCTTATCAAAGGATGAACTACCTAATAATAGAGCCGGTCTGAAAACAGAATGGCATAACGTGTGATAAATTTCCTCTAAACTGGAAATATTTAAAGAGAGGCTAAAACTAACAATTGGAGATATGGTAAAAGATTTATGCATTAGGCAAGGGCTTAGTTTTGTTGACTTTTGGTGCCATTAAAATCCCTATGATTCTATGATTACTCTGAACCTGAACATAAAATTTCAGAAACATGAAAAAAGTCATCCTAAGCAACTATTAGCACAGTTACATCTCATTTTATATATATTTTGCATCTTATAATGAGCTTTCTGAGAGTCTCTGGGGATATTGGTCCAATAAAACGGCATAGAAGGGATTCCAGCAGGGAAAGGAAGCTGGCCATAAAGCTATAGTTCTATGAAAAAGTTAAGATATTTTGGGACTAAAAAAATTTTCAGAAGATGTTTCCCCTAACTGTAAAATTTGGATGAAAAATCTCTAAATAGACCAATTTCAGTTTTCAGTGGCTTAGAATTCAACCATGAGAGTAACTGTAATGAAGAATAATTTCAATTAGGATGTATATCCAAACAGGAAAACAATGATGCATTCTTATTTGGTATATAATAGTGAAGTTGAAATATAAGCAACCCTAAATAAAGCAATAAAGAATGAATACTCTAACAGTTTGAATAGCGGAAGGCAACCTGTGGCCAACCTGTGAAGTCATGACTACTCAATCTTTGATGTGGAGAACACATTAAAATGAATTAAACTCAGTTCCTTTGCTTTGGAGTTTATGGTCTTCAAGACTAGTAAAGAAAGAAAAGCTTTATTAAGCTAGGAAAAGCTAATTGGCTTACTCACTTTTAAAGTAAAGAATACTTAAAGAACTCACCATTATATAACTAGACTACTGCATTTTTATGTTTATAGGCTATACTCTATTAAAAATTTTGGGAAGATAAAAAAGTACTTTACTTTTTAAACAGTGACATTTTAAATAATTTAAAATAATAATAATAATTTTAAATAATTCTTTACAAAGTACCCTAAACCATATAACACATGAATAGGCTCCTCAAGTAGTTTAAATTTTCACTGTTTGGCAGGAAATACATGTTTCTGCCCCTCATAAAATTCTCTCTCTAATTACATTTTAAAAATTACTTTTCTAGAGGAATTTTCTTTAAGAAAGCAGTATTAAAGATATCAAGCTTACTACCTGATGACGCTATTTCTAAGGCTTAAAAAATAAATGCTTGAAATGTATAATACTGACATATGACAAAGGAAATGATGAAGTTGGGAGTAGAGTAAGGACTCTGTGACTATGTTCTCCTGCAAAATACTTTTATAATAGTTGTTAAGCATATTCTAAATATGGTACCTACATAATTTATAATCCAAACCAGGACACTTCTAAAGTGAAAGAGGACACTATTAGTAATTACAAAATGAATACCACACCGGCAAACTGGGGCATACGGTCACCCTAATTATCAATCAATCCCATGCTGGCAACCCCCACGGCATGGAGCAATATGCAGACTCTGATACAGTGGAGAGATTAACCATCTAGCTCTGAGGTCCACAGCTTCAGAGACACAGGAGCAATTCAGAGACATTCAAAGACTCACAAGAATTACTAGAGAATTCATAAGTGAGGAGGCTGGTATAAACTTAAAGATTTGGAGAAGGGGAATTCGATAAAGGAAAAAATAAGAGAAATACTTCAAAGGACTTCAAAATTTTCTCTGATGAGGATATCATTTGGGAACCTACTATCCTCACTTTTATAATCACCACTAAGCTTTTGCCATAAAGCTTTAATAAAATTGCAGGTAAGTCCGGGTGTGGTGGCTCACGCCCGTAATCTTAGCACTTTGGGAGGCTGAGATGGGAGGATCACTTGAGGCCAAGAGTTCAAGACCAGCCTGAGAAACATAGCAAGACCACATCTCTACAAAAAATGCAAAAATTAGCTGGGCATGGTTGCGTATACCTGTGGTCCCAGACTCAGGAGGCTGAGGTAGGAAGATCATTTGAGCCCAGAAAGCGTGAGGTTGTAGTAAGCTATGATAATGCCACCGCACTCTAGCCCAAGCAACAGAGTGAGACTCTTTCTCTCTCTCGCAAAAGAAAAAAAAAAGACAAGAAAAGAAAGAGAAAAATAAGAGGTGGTTTGTCAATTTAATTTGTATTGGACTTAAAACTCAGACTATTAATCTTTGGGAGCAGGGACACTATCATTCACTTCATAGTATCTAGGGCCTAGCTCTCGGTAAGTGTTTATTGAATGAATTAACACTTAATATTTTGAATATTAAAATTTATTATACTAGACCCCTAATCAAAGAAGGCAGATTTAAAAAATTTGAATCAACAATATAACCTATTATTCCCTAAAGGAAAACCCATCAGGAAAATATATGTCTGAATTTGCTTTAAAATAATACAGTAGAGTAAGAGAGAAGAATAAAAGATTAAACAAAATTACAAGATGTTAATAACTGTTGAAGCTGAATAATGCTGGGTGGGAGTGCTCTGTGTAACTGCAAATTTCCACATTTAAAGGGTTTTTTTAAGCCCACTTGAAACCAACAGAATATCCTGGATTTTTCAAACACAAGCAATATTCTTTCCTTCAAAAAGATCAATGTCAAAATTCTTATCAGTTTATGTCTAAGGACAGTATACCTGTAGCATTAGATGTAGATTGGTCACTTTCTGTGCAGACCAGCCAGAATTTTCATCTCCAACTTCAAACCAAGGTTTCATACGCTGAATATATGAGCCTTCTTTAAAAAAATTTTGATTGGAATTGTTGTTTTTTAACAAGTTTTGGAGCAAAATCAAACAATCTTCTACTACTATACCTGGGGAAAGAATGTAAAATGAAAGTGTTAAGGCTCATAAAATCTGACAGAAAATTCAATTCCCAAACATTTTAAAAAAGATAACTTTCTAGGCTCAGCATCTCTTCAGTATGGGAAGGCAGACAGCCTGTTCTGACTCCTGATGACCCCAGGACATAATTTTCTAGCTCTTTCTAAGGTCCCCAGTGATCTCTTGACTTCTATGTTCAACTATCAACTTACCTCAGGAACTTACAGCTTTTCTTCAGATCCCTGCTGAAACATTATTTCTATAGGAATGACTATCAAGATTCAAGAACTAGGTCACGATACCAGCTACTTACAGTAGCCTGCTCCTTTTATTATTAGGTAGTGTCTGTCTTCTTGACTAGGTTATAATTTGTGGACACCCTACTTAGCTCTGTATCCTCGGCAGAGACAAAGACAAGACACTGAGTACATACCCAGAAGCTAACTATTAAATATTTGTTGAATGAATCAATCATATCTTATTTTATCTCTAAGAAGCTCCTGAAATAGTCAGTCTCTTCTTTGAAACTTCCCTTGGTTTCTGAAACACTACTCCCCTGATTTTCCTAACAGCTCCCTGGCTGCTCCTCAGGCTATTTTTTCATGGTTGCTGTTCACCATGGTTTCATCCTTTTCCCTCTTCTCTGCTTACAGCATGCCACTTTCCAGGGCAATGTCATCCACACTGCAGCTTCCACCACCCTCACAGAAGACAAAGCTCCACCTGATTTTGACTTCACCAAGTGCTAAATTAACCAATGGCCCTGTTTCCTTGGCGAAACGCTGACTGATGCTAGGTGCTAGTTCCTTATTCTCATCTTTGGTGACAATCCTCACTCTCTTAGTATAACCTCTTATCTTTGTGGCTCAAGTATTTTCAACATATCTATTCTCTGAGAATTTCAACTGATTAACCAGACACCTTTCTCCTTTTTCGGAAACTCTCTTCTGTCTCCTTCCCTATTTAGTTTAGATTATATATATCTTCATTTCCTCCACTCTATAGATAATATGCTAAATTCTCTTGCCTCATTGCCTTTTCATAGCACCTTCCTGGAAAAGACCTAAACCTGTGTTTTTCTGCATGTGCACCTAGGAAGCTAAATATTACTGGGTGGGGGGAGAAATCACGTAATCAAGCAGCCTGTACTGCTGTAAAATCATGAATACCCTCAACAGGGCCTTTATCCCTGACTGAAAATCTTCCTAATTACAGTAGTTAACTACCTCTCCTATTCTTCAAAAGACAATTTCTAACTTTCTCCATTAATTCTCAACTGTGTCCTCCCCCTTCACTCTCAGCATATGGCTCTGCCTTCAACTTAACTCATCAACAAATTTCAACACCAAAAAACCCGACATATTAACCTGTGCCTTCAGAAAATTAGGAGAAATGTGAGAATGCAGTATTCAAAGAGATATAGCTGAGATTTTTCAGAAATGATGAACGATACCAACCTAGATTGCAGAAGCCTAACAAATACAAAACAGGACAAATAAAAAGAAATCCACACTCAACATGCTATAGTGAAAGAAAAAAAGGAGTATAATGTATGAGTTCCCATTTCTCCCTCCAATTATTAATATATTCTCTAGAACCTAACAATTTAGTGAGTATTAAAATAATCTCTTCCAATAATCTCTTCATACTATACCTCCATCACTGTTCCCCTCTTCTGTAATAATGTCCAGTAGTCTCTCAAATGCATTTTCAAAAGCAACAATTTTCTGGATTGCTCCATTGCTTCTTGTTAGTGCCTGTAGTAGTAAGACACCCTTGTAGAGAAGAAAGATAATGTTTAGTGGTGTACATCTGCAAAACATTTAAAAATCACAGGAATTTTTTTTTCTTTTTTGAGACAGAGGCTCGCTTTGTTGCCCAGGCTAGAGTGAGTGCCATGGCTTCAGCCTAGCTCACAGCAACCTCAAACTCCTGGGCTCAAGCAATCCTACTGCCTCAGCCTCCCAAGTAGCTGGGACTACAGGCATGTGCCACCATGCCCGGCAAATTTTTTCTATATATATGTTAGTTGGCCAATTAATTTTTTTCTATTTATAGTAGAGACGGGTCTCGCTCTTGTTCAGGCTAGTTTCGAACTCCTGGCCTCGAGCAATCCGCCCGCCTCGGTCTCCCAGAGTGCTAGGATTACAGGCGTGAGCCACTGCGCTTGGCCAAAAATCACAAGAATTTCATAAGCCAAACCCCTTTACTTTATATATGGGGAGAAAAAGGACAGAGAAGTTAAGTAACCTCCCTAAGGTTATAGATCCCAAAGGGACAGAGCCGAGACTAGAATCCATGTCTAACAATTCCTAATTTAGTGCTCTTTTCACTGTATGATAGAAAGATACAACAATTCTTTCACATTCATCAATTATTACATAGTTTTCACTGCGGCTTAAGAAAGTTGATGATGATTGTATCTGCCTCAGGAATGCTACCTAAATGCTTCATAATAGTAATCATGGAAAAGCTGTCATTCAGTGTGACTCAACAAACATCACCACATTTTATCAGAGACAGTTCAGTATTCTTGTAAATATCCAGTCCACAAATCCCCAAAACTTGATTGTAAGTCAGCAGAAAAAGATGAAAAAACTCATGCTTACGAATGGCTTGTCCAGCACAAGGTAATTTATAGTAGTCTTTGCCTCTGACTTTTAGTTTTTCCCAGCTCCTGTTAAGCTGGATGTAGTTCATATATTTTGCAATCTCTTTATCATTCACTGTTACCCATTCTTGCTTATTTTAGTATCAATCAAGTACTTTATGAGCCTCTAAGTGTCCCATATATCATGACAGTAAAAGAGACAGCAAATATTTCATGAAAAAAAGCACAGATATTACTTTGGAGGAAGAAAAACAGTAAATAGGTAGTTCAAAAGTTCCAGAGGCAAATTCGTTGTTGGTGTCATTATTAGGCAGATTAAGTATTCATATAAGACAAAAAATGTCCGGGGCCTTATTGAGCTCATTCCACTCATTTTCCTGATTGTCAAGTTTCAACACTAAGATGAGATAGGCAAAAGTGGTTACTTTTAGATGTCAAATTCTCCTGATTAATGCTGCCAACTTGAGCTTAACTGCTGAAAAAGGGAAGACGGAATACAGTGGAAACTGAGAAGAAAACTGAGGCACCAAGATAAAGTGGGTTTAAAAACTGGTTGCCCTACTTACTAGTTGTACAACTATATGCAAATTACATAAATTGAGTATACTAATACGTAAAACAAGGATAATAATATCTTTGTCATAGGGTTTTTAATAAAGACTAAAGGAGATAAAACAACCTCTATAGAGCCCACTATATTATAAATTCTCAGTACATGTTAGTTTCTTTTCCCCTTATCCTCTTGAATAGGTTTATTGAAATTTAAAAAACATACAGCTTTAGAACAAGTAAAAACCAAGAATCTAGACATCACAACAAAACAGAACTTAATCTCTAATTGTAAAATTAATTAAATTCAACATAAACAGATAATCATTTTACTTGTCTCAAATAAAAATTGAGAAAAAAAGGTTAGGAACAGAAAAAAAGGAAAATGGTAGATTTAAGAACCAAGATAATACAGTTACTAAAGAGCAATTTTATACCTGGAAATGAAAATTAATAATAGTGATATTAACAGAAATTTAGAAAGGGATAATTTTTTAATTAATTGATTTACATGATATCCTCTTTTTATTTTATTTATTTATTTTGAGACAGAGTCTCACTCTGTTGCTCAGACTAGAGTGAGTGCCATGGCATCAGCCTAGCTCACAGCAACCTCAAACTCCTGGGCTCAAGCAATCCTCCTGCCTCAGCCTCCCAAGTAGCTGGGACTACAGGCATGTGCCACCATGCCTGGCGAATTTTTTCTATATAAATTAGTTGGCCAATTAATTTTTTTCTATTTATAGTAGAGACGGGGTCTTGCTCTTGTTCAGGCTGGTTTCGAACTCCTGGCCTCGAGCAATCCGCCCGCCTCGGTCTCCCAGAGTGCTAGGATTACAGGCGTGAGCCAGATATCCTCTTTTTAAAATTTAAAGCCAAGAGAAGAATAGAACAGAAACTTTAGGCTTAAGATACATAGTCATATTTTAGTCAACAAAAGATATTCAGAATTCCTAATAGATAAATGCCCATTTAAATAATTCTTAAAAGATAACATTTGAATATTAAAGAATAAAAAATGTTCTTCTCATAAGTTATATTACTATATAATTTCACTACCTGTAATATTAAATATGAAAAATTAAAAAAAAATCTCAGTGAACTATAAGTCAAGAATGCTTCATTTTTGTCTCTGCTTTGCCAATAACCAGTTGTGACTCTAAGAGCAACCCAGATGATATTTACTAGAAATCAGGATGAAAAAGGCATAGGGCTAGGGACCACAAATACAAAGACAATTGCAAACAAAGAACAACTGACTTGGTTTCTGTGGGTTCTGGGCTTTTCACTATAAATATGAAAACGTAATCAGCTTGACATGATCTCTTTAATTAAATCCAGAATTTAATTTTAAAAACACTTTTCCAATTTCTATCTAAAGTGTTAGAGTTTTGATGAGTTGTAGAGAACAGAGAAAAATGCTCAAGCAACAAAACAATATGGCATCAATACAAAACACTCAAACTTACATGCAAATATTAAAATAAATTAGAATGGAAAATAACTCCAGAGCAAATCATGCTCTATATTTAAATAGAGATTAACATGGAAGATCCTTAGAAATACATATTCAATCAAATGAAGGTGAGAACTCCAAATGTAATGCTTTGCTGGATTACATAGTTTAGCCTATAATCCTAGCACTCTGGGAGGCCAAGGTAGGAGGATAGCTTGAGCTCAGGAGTTTAAGACAAGCCTGAGCGAGAGTGAGACCCCATCTCTATTAAAAATAGAAAAAAATAGCTGGGCGAGGTGGTATGCACCTGTAGTCCCAGCTACTTGGGAGGCTGAGGCAGGTGGATCACTTGAGTCCAGGAGTTTGAGGTTGCTGTGAGCTAGGCTGACGCCACGGCACTCTAGCCCAGGCAACAGAGTGAGATGCTGCCTCAATAAATAAATTAATTAATTAAAAAAAATAAAAAGATGAAAGGATTATATAGTTCATTGTCTGGGGATGTCTTCTCTACTCCTTAGGAGGAAAAGGAAATTGTGGAGGTAGAATTTGGTATGAAATATAACCTTCTGGCAGATGGTAAAAGAAATTCTAAACTTACGGAAGGAATAAATTTTTTTTTTTTTTCTTGAGACAGAGTCTCGCTTTAATGTCCAGGCTAGAGTGAGTGCCATGGCATCAGCCTAGCTCACAGCAACCTCAAACTCCTGGGCTCAAGCAATCCTCCTGCCTCAGCCTCCCGAGTAGCTGGGACTACAGGCATGCACCACCATGCCCGGCTAATTTTTTCTATATATATTAGTTGGCCAATTAATTTCTTTCTATTTTTAGTAGAGACAGGGTCTCGCTCTTGCTCAGGCTGGTTTCGAACTCCTGACCTCGAGCAATCTGCCCGCCTCGGCCTCCCAGAGTTCTAGGATTACAGGCGTGAGCCACTGCACCTGGCCGTGAAGGAATAAATTTAAATAGCAAAACGGTTTGTCTAAGCCAAAATACTAGATAACTAGGAAAGAAAGAAAGAATGTGGCTTTGTATATAATAACTTAAAGAGGTCATTACCCCAACTTTCTAAATCTCACTTCTTAAAACTTGGAGTAAGAGTCAACAAAGATTTCACTTGCAAAGAGGAAAAAAACGCTACATATTCTTGGATTTTTTTTTTCAAATTTAACTTACATCATTACGTATAACTTCCCTGGAATCTGCTAACAAGTCCATCAATCTTGACACACCTAGAACATAACATAAAACATGTGAACATGTAAAAAATGCTGGCAGACAAAAAATGCAAATAGTAGTTTAAATTATTAACAATTTATTAACCCATCATTTCAGTGCCTTACTCTAGGAAATGATCCTCATTTTTTAATCAAAATAATGTAACAAAGATAAGTCACTTACCCATGGGACTAACTAAAATAATTTGTTGCACCTGAGGCCCCAGCTGTTTTAAAAGAGAAGTCAGGAGCTTCACACCAGGCCAGCGGACGTGGAAATCAAACTCCTGCAATGTGAGAATTTAAAATATTTAACATCTATAATTCATATTTTCAAGAAAAACATGTTAAAGTGGTACTACCAGTAAAATATGAAAATTTAGCAAGCTTTTTAAAAAAGCAATTTAAGAAATAAAAAGCAATAAAAAGAAAATAGAGTTCAAATAGTTACTGATGGGCTAAAACAGTATTTTGTAAAAACAGAAATAACAGAGTATTTGAAGAGATTATATATTAATATTTCTTAATACATGCATGTGGATCTCTTGCTCTGAGACAATAAACTTCACTATCTTTAAAAATATGTATGTTTTGCTTTCTTAGTAATACTCAAAAAGGTAACAAAAGAAGCTATTAAGATGGAAAAAAACTCAAGATTCCCTATTTACCTCCAATAAAGATAAGAGAAGAGTGACATTTTCTTGCTGCTTAATGAAAATTTCTGTAAACTGGCTTCCCAAATCCTCACTCTGTCTTGTGGAATTTTCTTCTGTAATATTCAAAGATAAAGAACTTCAAACATGACGGTATGTTATTTTAAAGTATTCTTTAATCAAAGAGTTAAGCAGAAATGATAATTTTCCCAGTATTTAAACAATTCAACATGGAAACAGTATGGCTGGTAGTGATATCACAATTATGATGTAAAGCTATACCCTTAAAATAATTTTTGTATACTTTTAAATACTTTTTTATTTGTTAGGTGCTTAAATGTGATATCTGAAGAAAAGATATTTAAATATTCACATTTTCTCAAGCACATTTTTAGGCTGAATTTCCATTAGGTCCTAAGGAAACTGGGGTGATAGAAACATTGTCTTCAATGTGGTAGTGGTGATACTTTTGCCCAAACTCACAGAACTCTACCACTACAAAGAGTGAATTTTATCATATATAAATTTTATCTCAAAACCCTATCCCTTAAAACATCAGCAAACATGTAGTCCTTGTTGATTGCTAGAGTTACTGTGTTAATTTTATTATAAAATTAAACCAATTATCTACAGATTCTTTAGTGTCTCCTTCACATATATATATACTATGAAATTATTTAGTGATAAAAATCAGAATTCTAGCTGAGTGTGGTGCTGTGCACCTGCAGTCCTAGCTATTAGGGAGGCTGAGGCAGGAGGATCATTTGAGCCCCGGAGCTGGAGGTTGCTGTCACTCCAGCCTGGGCAACAGAGCGAGACCCTATCTCAAAAAAAATTTAAAAATCAGCATTTTGACATTTAATTAATCTCATATTCTTTAAAAGATTTTGCATTTATTGCTTAAAAGTCTTTAGATTAAACTATATATTGTTTCAATGTGCTTTGTCAAAAAACACACATAAAGGATCACTAAAATTGGGAGCAACAATTTCCAAAGCAAATTATCATTTAAGATCTGCCTATTTTATAAACTCAATTTAGAGATGGCAAATCTACTACTCCGTACCTTTCTCTCACCCACACCAGACATAGCTGACTCATCACAACATTGTCTGAGCATCAGAATCCTTTCCCACATGTTGCTCCAGGAAGTGACTATAGTGACTATAGGCCAATGGAGCTGGCGATCAAGTTCAAACCTATTATCCCTCAAAAATGCTTTTCCAAATGTGAAATTTTAATATAATATTAATACAGTAGAGAAATGGGGGGAAGAAACCCTACCAGATGTCAGGAAAAGCAAAGCAATTCAAAGAATGAAGCTCAAAACAGAAATGTTTTCCTCTATTAAGTACCCAAATATGCTGGGATTATCCTTCAGAAACTCTAAGAAATATTTCTCTCAATCATCTCTTGCATTAGTAAAAGAATTCAAGTGCTTCTGAGCCTTAAAACCATATTACATAAAAAATACTTTAGTTTTAAAAGGATTACTTTGACTGCTATGCTAAGAATAGATCAGGGAATAAGGAAAATAGGGCGATGGGTCAAGAGGCAATAATCAAAGAGGTAAAGGTAGCTTAGACCTTAGGAGCTACAATTTTTATGAAAACACGGGGAACAGAATCTGCTAACACACTGCACAGAGGAATGTGACAGTTGGGGAAGGAAGAGTGATTCCAAGGTCATGTCCTGAAGAACCGGAAGGACAGAGTTGCTGTTTACTGAGATGGGAAACACTGTGGGACTAGCAAGATGGGAGGTAAAGAGAAAACCAGAAATTTACTTTTGGACATGTTATGTTTGAGATACCTTATAAAAATCCAAGTGGAGACACCAAATAGGCAGCTTTATAAATACAAGCATAGATGCCAACAGAGAGATCTGCATTGGACACACAGATTAGAGCGTTGACATAAATGATATTTAAAGTCACATAACTGGGTGACAAAGGGCAACTAAAAAAAACTTATAGCCAACATCATCCTTAATGGTGAAAGACTGAATGTTTTCCCCTTTAACATCAGGAAGAAGGCAAGAATGTCCACTCTTTCGAATTCTAGTCAACATTACACTGGAGGCTGGGCTTGGCTCACGCCTGTAATCCTAGCACTCTGGAGGCTGAGGTTGAATGGGGGCAAGGAGGAAGAGCAGTAGATTACAAACAAGCACACAAAGCTTTTGGATAGGTTCACTGTTTTGGTGGTGGTAGTGATATCACAAGTTTATACAAATGTCAACACTCATCAAATTGTATATTGACATATTTATATAGGTATAATTACTGTATGTTAATTACATCAATACAGCTCTGTGTGTAGGGAGAGGAATCCAAGTAGAGATATCAGGTGAGTATTTGAATATACAGTTATGACCTTCAGTGGAAAGGTATGGGTTGGACATATACATTTGAATGGGAAGCATATAAATGATACTTTTTAAGTTATAAGCCTGGATGAGATCACCAATGGAGAAAGTAGAGAAGGAAAGAAATCTGTGCCCTGGGGCATTCCAATACTAAGAAGTTGGAGGGGATGAGGAAAACTGCAAAGGAGACAAAGAAAGTGAAACAAGAAAAACAGCCAGTGAAACAGCAGGAAAACCAGGAGGCTGGAGATTGGCAAACAAATGAAGAAAGTATTTCAAGGAGAAAGGAGTAACTATCCAATAACACCAATAGCTCGAGTACCCTCTGAACTTGATATGATCAAGAAATGAAGTAGCAGCACTAATAGGAGTAGAGGTAATTTCTGTTTATTTACAGAATGACTAGAATATGGAGTAGTAAATACTTTCCTAAGTAGCAGTACAGTAAAATGGAAGAAACCCCCAAAGACTTTTGAGTAAGACCAATTAAACTCATATTCCACCACTTAGAAGCAATGTTACTTTGGGCAAGTAGCCTAACTACATCAAGCCTCAGTTTCCTTATTTGTAAAATGGGGACAATGTCTTCACATAGAGTTTTCTATGAGGATTCAAAATAAGCAAAATACCTAGCAGAGTGCTTGGTAAATAATGTGTTCAATAAACAGTAGTAGTAGCAGCAGCATCCTTAAGACAGGATTTCTCAAACTTTGCATTACTGACATTTCAGGCCAGAGAAGTCTCTGTTGTGGAGCACTTTTTGTGCACCAAAGGATGTTTAGCAGCATCCCTGGTTTTTATCCACTCAATGCAGTAGCACTTCCCTAATTCCCCTAAGACAACCAAAAATGTCTCCAGATATTGCCAAACATCCTGGGGGTGGGGTAAACTGCCCTCAGTTGTGAAATGCAGTACTAAGATTTACAACCTAAGCTATATATAGATCACCACGTTTTCAAATGATACAGAACATAGCAATCCTTCTTTAATGATTCAGAAAAAGTTCCAGACTCTTACAAGGTTACCATTAATATTATCATCAAGATGCAAAATATATAAAAAGTATATCTAGCCGGGCACGGTGGCTCACGCCTGTAATCCTAGCACTCTGGGAGGCCGAGGTGGGTGGAATGCTCGAGGTCAGGAGTTCGAAACCAGCCTGAGCAAGAGCGAGAACCCCATCTCTACTAAAAATAGAAAGAAATTAATTGGCCAACTAATATATATAGAAAAAATTAGCCAGGCATGGTGGCGCATGTCTGTAGTCCCAGATACTTGGGAGGCTGAGGCAGGAGGATTGCTTGAGCCCAGGAGTTTGAGGTTGCTGTGAGCTAGGCTGACTCCACTGCACTCACTCTAGCCTGGGCAACAAAGTGAGACTCTGTCTCAAAAAAAAAAAAAAAGAAAAAAGTATAACCTGTGGTATTTCCAGAAAGTTGTTTGTTTGTAAACAAGTCCTGATATTGATATTTTACCTTACATTTATCTCTTTTTTCTCAAAGTTGTATACAATCTACCAAAAAAGGGTAATTATTTGAGTTTATGATTGTTTGGATTCTAAATAAAAAGAAATTTACTGTGTTTTTTTAAAATTAGTAAACCATTAATTTTTGTCCTGTAAGTTTTATTTCTTAGGTTAGTGGCTTCAGAAGAACTATTTAGGGAAGGAGTCACTATTTCCACTTCAGGAAAAACAGGTAGAGGAGGAGATTAAAGGATTAAAAAACCCCAAAACTATACCTGAAAGCTATCATCACATTAACTGCATGATCACAGACGTCTATGGTATCACAGATATGTTAAGATGCAAGGGATTTGATGCTACAAAGCCCTAATATTAATCATAAGGAAGCCTAATACTCATACATAACTAGAGTAGATTGAAGGGGCATTCTCTACCATGAATCTGCTAACAGGATTTTCTGTTGTTCCTTTGGGAGCTGACAAAATTCTGTGTCCTAATTATTAGCATACCCTGAAAGTAAAATCCTGCTTGGTAAATTGTGATTTTCAAAGCTCAAAGGTGAATTTATGAGTGGAGTTGAAAAAAACAAAAACAAAACTTGTACTAGATAAGCAGCAAAAGCTGCATACCCTTCCCATTTTATTTGCAAGTTGATAGATAATAGACTGTGAAGGAACTGGAAAAGATCTGGGAATTGGGAGCCGGTAAAATCTTTTGAAAATTTTCATCTTTAGAATCAGGTATGAATAGGAACCCTGATTCCCAGTGTGGTAAATGTCATGTACCCAAGATGTGGTTGGCTAATGAGCCTATCTTTCTCAAAGCCACCCCAGAACCCTAACAAACCACGCCTATGTGTGGGATGATACAGAAACAGACATGTAGTCAAATTCTAATGGAATTGTACAGATAAAAAAGCAGATGAAGAAAACTACGTAAAAGAGGCCCATGGGGAACACGTGTCAAATAAACAGATCTTCAAATACATGATAAATCTGTGTTGAAAACACGAGTAACATATTCTCTCTCCTTTAGAATTGTGTCATTCCAGAAATTAAGAAGATAGTAATATGTTAACCTAATCATGGGTGCTGTGTAGGGCTATTTTCCATTTGTGTATATTCATATTTGTTGAATGAAATAATACATGTATACAATTAATAATATCATGCTTTTGAAAAATAATTTATAATATTATGTAATTGCTTTTACCTGAGTGGTGTGAATATAGTAGAGAATATACCTCAACCATAGGGGCAAGACAGTAACGTGAGTGAGTGAAGC